TACTCTGATACGAGTTGTGCGTATACCCTTCAGTAGTAAGTACCCAGATGATTCGTACCCTGCTTTGTACAATTGGGGCTGTTGCGCTCGGTGATAAGTAGGCGAATACTTCCTGCAGAAAAAAAATAATTCGTGATTTTGAACGGCCTCTTGTTTCTGGTGAATTGGGCTTTGAATAGTCGAGCGCTCATAACTCCAAATTGGACTCAATTGGTGCCAATCTCATTTTGTGTAAAACTAAAAGTAGGTGTTTATTAGGAGCTGCATCTGCGCCTTGATGCTAGAGGGTGGTGGCGTTCCTACGGATGTGGAAAACTCGGCTGCCAGCAGAGTCTCACGCGAACCGTGAATTTTTAATGTGTTTATTTACATACGGAAAAAACTGGGCCTTTGGCCTTTGGCCGAGTCTCACGCGAACCGTGAAATTTTTTTATTAGGCCACCCTGAAGAAGGTCTGTGGTTCGACTCACCCGACCGACCGTACATTTTTCAGCCCGACCGTAACTTTTTTTCGGCGGGCTGTCGTGTGACTGACGTACGTGGACTGAACACGTCCACGTCTACGTGTTGTGCAGCGTGAGTCTGCGGACGCAGGCGGCTCCTTTTGGACTTGACTTGTAGTTGTACTGCAGTGCAGTGCAGTGCAGTGAGTGGTACGACTGCTGCCTTGTGCTGGTAGTAGAGTCTACTCGATACGACCACCGGCAGACTGGCGAGACTTATTTTGAAGTGACCGTCCGGTTGAGAGTGATTGCCTCGTTCCAGATTAAGGACGGCCTTCTGTTTTGGGATGAAGGACAGACGAGATTGCACTTTCCTCGTGTATTGGGAACGATAGTTCACCTGTACCGGTAAGTTGCTGCTCCATGTGTGCAAGCACAGGAAGCGTCGATGGAAAAAGCCCATGTATTCGTGCACGCCGACGCCAAACTAGCAATACATGTGCCGGTACATTGTACAATTTGTACTTCGATTGAGTTCGAAGTAGTTCCCGAACTTACTTTCAACTCGCATCGTTCTTCATTTGCTTGATGATTTGGACAGTCAGAGTCACCGCTTGAAGTTATTCTCTTCTCGTTCCAGAGCTACACAATGTTTCAAAGTATTACTATTAGCCAGTGATCCCTTTATACAACATGTATGGCATAACACTGCGTAATAATGCCGATGTACTGGGTGTCTAAAGGCAGTACAGTGTATTTACATGTACTAAAATATATATATTAAAAAAAAAAAAATCCGCCCGCCCGCCCGTAAAAAAATGTCCGTGTTAGTCGAACCACACACCTTCTTTAGTTTGGCCTTATTATTATTTTTTACATACGTGTATCACTGTGTGTAGTTGTCATTGTCTTGAAGTACTTTTGTAGCACGGAGCTGAACTTATTCAGCACAGTAACTCCTTAGAGTGCACGCGGGACTAAACAAGTCCTGAAGTTTTTATTTCCAGAGGAGTACTAAGAACACGTTCCTGCCGGTTTCGTACGGCCATTATAGCTTATCAGAATCCCACTGTCTTATTGCCATGCCTGGGTGGCTGAAGGGTATGCATTGCAAGTGAGGGTGTGCATGCATATGCTTTCAGCAGAGCTACCATAGCGCGGCATGGGTTAGAAACTTAGAATGGAGCTGATAAGGCAAGAGGCCCAGGTGGGTATGGAAGAATGTGAAAAGTCATGCCCCCCCCCCCACACACACATGACCACCACCTACAATTCCTGATTGTTATGATAGCGTTATGCTAAGAACGGAGGGAGTGTTTCTCTCCTGCTCAGTCATGTGTGGCATAACGGCGTTCTTCTTGTTGTAGAGGTGTTTATAAGCCGTGAAATGGTGAGCTTCAGGCACTTGCAAGGGTGTTTGTTTGCCTAGTGCTAATTAAAGATGTGTGCGTATGTCTGCATTCACCAGAAGTGCTGCCTGACTCTGCCCGGTGCGTCTCCATGGTTCAGACACAATGGTGTGATTACGCCACTTGCACCTGGTGTGTTTGTATTGAGTGGCGCGGTTTTCTGGCTTGGAGAATGTGTTTGTAACGTTGTTGGGAGCACAGCCTCCGCTCTCTCTCTGTGTGCTGCGCTGTGCATTGATGTGCGGGTTGGGGCCAGAATGGCGATAGGAATGTTTGTGGATTTATTGTATGCACAGTTTGTGACCGATACTGAATAATGGTTTCAATCACGGCTCCCAGTTTGATGCACAATGTGAGATCATTGGGTCACTTAAGGGCCAGAATGGCGAAAGGAATGTTTATGGATTTATCTTAAGTACAGTTTGTGCCCAATAATGAACAATGGTTTCGATCAGGGCTCCCAGTTTGATGCACAATGCGAGATCATTGGGTCACACTTAAAAAGATCGTTGACATGCTGCCAATCGATGATACATGCAGGTATGCAGCTGACGGTGATGTGATAGAACTGATACTCAGTAGCGGCGGGCAGAAACTGGCACAGTACAGTACAGTACAGTACAGTACAGTACAGTACAGTACAGTACAGTACAGTACAGAACAGTACTGTTGGGTAGCGCCGAATAACGAGCAGGCTAGAGTTTCACCAAGCACAGCGTACCAATGTATACACGAGGACTCAACTGTGCATAGACTGTAGTAAGAACGACCAGCCTAGAATTTCACCAAGCGCAGCATACCAATGTATATGCGGTGACTCAACTGTGCATAGACTGTAGTACATGAAAATAAGAACGGTCTATAGTAGGCTAGGAGGCTGACCCCAGGTCCCCCCCCCCCCCCCCCCCCCCCAGGTCCCCCCTCCATCCAGGTCTTCTGCGACCGACAGTACTGTAATGAGGTTTACTGTTCCAGATACCAGTACAGTCAGACCCCGCTTATCCGGTCCTCTTTTACCCGGATCCCTCGCCATCCGGAAGAAAATCGCTGGTAACAGATTTACAGCAAACGTGATGCATCCAACATAACCGGTGTTCGGTTGTCCGGTTCCCTCGCCTATCCGGATAATTTGTGGAAAACAAGTGTATGCGGTTAAGCGACGTGTGACTGTACTGCATCACATGACCAGAGTATGGGTGCCTCGAACTACTTGCTGCTTGCTTCTTACATGCCTGTACCTTGATGCTTGTGTGCCCACAAGCTCATAATTATGTTTCCAAACAGACGCACAGCTCGGTAGCGATTGTGCTGGCAGGGGGAAGGATGTTGTCCCTTACAAGTGCTTGATGACACGCAAAGGTGTGTAAGGACTATAAGGGGTAGCTTTGCTGTCATGCATCCTATGGGCACAGTTTGAACAGTCTGCTCTCCAAGCACATGGTGCCATGTCGTAATGTTTAGTGATTATCTTTCTTTCAGCAGTGGTTGCGGGACTAATACAGCAGTAGTTAAAGCAGGAGATCACATCTAAATGTAACAATACGTTCTCTTGACTCCCGGAAGACAATGGATTTGAGCCGCTACACGACAAAAGGGTGCTTATGGCACGCGACATCAAACTGAGAAAAACTCGTTTAAAAGTTGAGTATGCAATAGGAAGAGTGCACATCTTCTTTTTGAATTCGATTAGTTTTCGTCGCGATTTATCAAGCTTTTTGAATGGCGTTTTTTGCAACAGGAGCAGTGAGAATTCAGCCATTGCGCTGTATCCATAACTCGGTTTGTAAAATTTTTGCCATGAGCACCCTTTTGTCATGGTGCGGCTCATTTTCAGTGAAACTGATGTTGCCCCAGGAGACAACTACAGTCCATTCACAAAAAAAAGAGTTGATCTCGGGTACTTTTCCAATCCGATTTCGGGTGAATTATGTTAAAAAACCCAATTCCAATCTGGCGCGAAATTGAATTATTGTTTGGACCAGCATGTCTTCACAATCACCAATGTGAAATCTGGCCGAAGTACTGAAAATCCGGCCGAAATACTGAAAACCCGACCGAAAAGATTCTTGGAGAAATAGACATAAAAAGACATAACAAGGCCACCTAGAATCAATTCGTTGTTTCGGGTCACTTCACTCATCCGCACCTGGGTCGGTCGGTCGGGGTTATTTAAAAAAAATTATTTTATATTATTTTTATTTTGGTTACTGCCACGTGCATACATACATGTACATGTATGTGAAAATGTAGATTGTAAAAAAACCCAGCTTTTGTCCATCAAGCCAGTCGATCAAATCTGACTGTAGACGACCCAGCGCAGCCATTGTCCCATCAGGTCCAGGTCCACTCCAGGACCAGATCTTGGCCTGGCTGGCGAACGAATCTGACCAGCAGCTCTCACCAAAACTTCTGTCAATGAGCGACGAGGTGGCGGAGCTGATACTGTCAGACTCGAAGGACAGATTGCGGATCGGAGATAACAAAAGACGTCGTTACAAACCGCTGCATCCTGTCATTTGGCTGCTTCCGAGGTCGATGTCGGGACTGCTGAAAATCAATGTACACTACTTCGAAGTATAATATACTTGTACATTTGCATGCGCAATAAAACACAAACATTTTACGGTCGGGTGAAAAGAGACGGTCGGTCTGGTCCCCCGAAACAATGAATTAATTCTGCTTGGCCTATAACCATACCATACTATACTGCACAGGAAAGGCAGTTTTGAAAAAGGTCCACCGTTCACCCATTTAGGTTCAAAAGCAAGATGGCATTCTGAAATTACTTTTGAACGATTAGATGCCTTGAAAGGGCGACGTGTTAGAATATTGGTATACATACAACTCCATTCAGTGTCTTCAGTGACAGCTGCACTTATTATGCTTTCCGGTGTGTTGGTGTGCATCTGTCGGTGTTTGTATCATGTGTGTGTGTGTGTGTGTGTGTGTGTGTGTGTGTGTGTCACTGTGTGTGTGTGTCACTGTGTGTGTGTGTGTGTATGTGTGAGTGTGTGCGTGCGTGTTTGTGTGTGTGTGTGTGTGTGTGTGTGTGTGTGTGTGTGCATGTGTGTTTGCGTGCATGTGTATATGCTTGTGTGTGTGTGTGTGTGTACGTGTATCAAAATTCTTGTATCATCCATACTGACAGGCGTTGTACTGGCACTATCGATACATCACACTTCGGCAGCAGCAACACAATGTTCACGATCAGCGTACGTCCTGCAGAACTCCCAGCCCGTGCCGCAGTGTCTGCAAGGCTGGGCGCTCCCACGGCAACAGCTGCCCGCCGCTGCGGTGGCCAATCAGCAAGCAGCATCGTCGTCGCCGGAGCTTTACGCTCGCACGTGTCAGCCGTGCCACGCGTCCTGCTTGGAGTGCAGTGCTCCCGCAGATGCCGATCAGTGCACTGGCTGTGCCGGCAACCTATATCTGGACAGCACGTCCACCGGCGTATCCGCTGTTGTGGGACGCTGCGTGGTGGCGCCGCAGTGTAGCATTCGGACGCCGCGCACCGTCAACGTCACCGCGCGTATCGCTCAGACCATACGTCTCGTCGCCACCAGTACGACCACTGCCGTCGATGTTGGTACTGCTGGTGCTGGTGGCAGTGTGCAGCGTGCAGGTCGCGTGGAAGTGTTCGCCGACGGCCGCTGGGGCACGGTGTGCTCGCGTGACGTGGATTTGACCGCAGCCAGCGCCATCTGCCGCCAGCTCGGCCTGGGCGAGGCCGTCGACATACTCGCAACTGCCCACGTCGGTATGGGCACGGGGCCGGTTGCCGTTGGTAACCTGCGCTGCCAGGGCAATGAAGTTGATATCCGCGACTGCACCTACCGGACATTTGTCGACGACTGTTCCCATAGTAACGATCTTGGTGTGCGGTGCTCTGGACCTAGATCGCATCAGACGTGCGCCAGCGACTGTCCGAACGGAACGTTCGCCGTGTCGACGACTGCCGGCTCGTGTGAGCTGTGTGAGACAAGCTGTAAAACATGCGCCGAGGTCTCGTACGCCTGCACCAGTTGCTACGGGAACGCCGTCCTTCACCAGTCGGAGTGCTTGCCCTCGTGCCCAGGCGGATACTACTCGGCAAGCACTGGTGACGGGGGTGAGGTCTGTCTTCGGTGCAATCGCAATTGCTCCGAGTGCAGCGGACCTCGCGCCCAGGACTGCACGAGCTGTCCGCCCGACCGGCTGGCACTGGGCAGCGGACGCTGCGATGGGGAACACACGTGCGCGGACTGCGCGCAGTGTGCCGGCCTCTGTGGCGCGACGCACGTCTGTCTGCAGAACGAGCTGTCGGTGAGCGCTGACGGCTTCTTGCAGATCGTGAGGCGGAGGAGTGCATCGTCGCCACCGGGTGGTAGTGCCGCAGTCGCTGGCCTGTTGGAGTCCGTGCTGATCTGCGGGGACGCGTTTACCATTCGCGATGCTCAGGTGGCGTGTCGGCAGCTGCGCCTGGGATCTGCCCTGCGCCTTGTCAACGACTCGCAAGGTACAGTCTCCAAAGGATTCATACTGTAGTGTGAAATGCAGTACTACAGTTGCGCTCACTGAAATCCAACCCGAAGTGCAAAGCTGGCGCCCTGGACCAGTTCCGATTACATCATTGTGGGTGTCCATGTGTACGTCCAGCCGCATTCATTCCACTGCCAGGGCGTCAAGGGCCGTGGAAGTTGAGGGCACCAGCTTTGCACATTGGGTCGGATTTCAGTGAGCGCAACTGTAGTAGTAGTTGTTAGATGCGTATGTGATTGGTGCGTGCTGGACATCAGAGTTGGTCAAACTGACTGGGATAGGGCGGCAGGGGACACGATAAGATTTCGAAATTGCTCTGACACAATGTCCTGCCACTTCTGGAACCGGTCGGACATGGCCGGACACTGTGATTTTTTTACAAGTCTGGTACTCATAATAAAAAATAATTATTATTGTCTTCACCAATTTCACACACGACACCACTGCATAATGCACACATGCATGTACATGCTACATCACACTGCGGTATTGCTGGTCACATCAAGTATGATCATCACACAGATCTCAGGAATGGTAACACTGATTCAAATCGCTGTGCGTTTTTCAGCAAACATAGCAACTGTGATGTGCAGTGTTTCTGCACATTTCGGATTTGAGCTGGTTTTTCAGCGGCAGATCAAAGATATTCATTTTTACGCAGTCGACAAAAGACAAAGTGGGCACCTGCTTGCCCATTCTAACTTCTTCTTGCCAGCTCCAAGATCGACACCATGTCACTACTCGAGTTGGCTGAAGGCTCCCATCTTTGGAAACGCGATGTGCTCTTTGAACAGCACGTAGTTTCTACGCGACGTTGAATTTCTGACTAACCTTCGCTGCTGCTGCTCCGTCGATCTTGCACAGCGCCTGTGCAACAGGAGCGTAATTGACTGGATTTGCAGAAGACTGCTCCTTTCGGTAGAGGCAGATCGCAAGCTGGCACAAATTTCTGACGCATTGTTTACCTGGAACAGGGACGTTTTCAATATTTCGGATTGTACAAGCACCTCGCGTAATAGTTCCTATTGTAGCAAGAAAGCGAAGAAATTTCATTTCAAAACTCGTTGATCGTTTGCTACGCTCAAACTGGAGCTACACTGAAGTGGACAGCTCCCTGTCTTGCTGTGAAACCCTCTTGTCACAGGTTGCTGCTCCGACTTCGTGAGACTTCTTCCCAGGCAGAGCGCCATTGTCCTCAGCCGTTCTCTTTCCCAGCGACGCTATTTTGTGAATTTCGATCGGACAGATTGTCCGTTCAAGAAAAAAAAAGCGCCGGATTCGAATCGAAAATGGTCGGAAAATGTCCGATGTCCGACCGTTATCGTGTCCCCTGGGCGGGTATTGTGCTATATGCAGATGGTAGAGTGAGTGAACATAGATGCATAAGTACACAGGCCACAGTATGTGTATGTGTGTGTATGTGTGTGTGTGTGTGTGTGTGTGTGTCTGTGTTGCCACACCTGCCGACATGTCAGTAGCCTGCCGATTTTTGGGGCCTGTCACGACCTGCCGACAATTGACCGTCTCCTGCCGACAACAGCCGTGAAAGTGTCCAAACTCGACCTTTGTGCTTGGTTTAGAAGTCATGGTCCAGAATTTTGGCTTTTACTACTCATTACGAGTATTTCCATAGCTCTCTCCTACAATACAAACATCAGCTGTCTGGGGGAAATCGTGTGCACTGTAGAATCCCGCTGGTGGGTTTGTACAACGAAGCTTGGCGATGTTCGAACTTGGCCTAGGCTTATGCGCGGGTGGGTTTATTCGCTGGATTCTACGATATATTAGGGTTACTATGAGAGGGGGGGGGGGGGGGGTCTGGGGGCGAAGCCCCCGGATGATGCATTTTTTTTTTCATTCTACTGATATTTGGCTATAATGATGTGGCAACACTGGTGTGTGTGTATATGGGTGCGTGCGTGCGCATGTGTACTATTAAAATGAGATGTTAGCATGGAGAAGACCCTACTAATGCTAGCAATTGTGTCCATTTGCGGCTGAACGAGTTTCTAGTGTGCATGTACCTGTGTGTGTGTGATTTGTGTATCATCCTGCAAACCATTTTTGATTTTTCACACAGGTACTACACCAACTTCACCCGCCACTTCCTATCTAACGGGCTACCATTGCCAGGGACATGAGCTAGGTCTGGAGTTCTGTAGAGTGCCGGTGGTAGCGCCGACCGCTACGTGTCTCTCGCGTGCTGCCGTGCAGTGCAGCCGTCCCGTTGCTATGGTTGCTGCCTCCACAGCGCCGCAAGTGACGCGTCTCCAGTGCCTGGAGACTTGCCCAGACGGCTGGCTGCTGGTCGGTGCGTTGTGCATTCCGTGTGATGCATCGTGCATGCGATGCGTCGGCACCACTTCGCAGTGTTCCGTGTGTCCAGCGGGGCGATTTCTCTCGGGGACCGCGTGCGTTCAAGCATGCCCCGCGGACATGTACGGCGATAGTGGCACTGCGGAATGCGCACCGTGCTCCTCGGCGTGTGCCACGTGCGCTGACGGAGACACTGGCAACGTGTGCACGTCCTGTGCAGTCGGCCTGCTGCTCGACGTGTCTGACTGTGTGTCCACATGCATCTCACCGAGACTTGCACTCAATGGCTTGACGTGCGTCGACCTGTGCCCGCGTGGGTCGTATGCGGATTCCGCGATGCTCGTGTGCAGGTCATGTGACCAGCATTGCGTGCAGTGTTCAGCACGTGAGAATGCAGGCACTGGCAGCACCTCCGTCTGTCACCAGTGTGAGCCAGGATGGTTTCTAACTGCAGAGGGCACGTGTCTGTCCACGTGCCCGCCTGGATTCATCCCGCAAGCACGGTTCTACGCCGCCGCCTCCGCGTCGGTTCGTCTCGTGGACGGAATGACCGGGGATGAGGGCAGGCTTGAAGTCCTGCACCAGGGCCAGTGGGGTACGGTGTGCGCCGACGGCTGGACCCTCCAGGCTGCCATAGTAACCTGCCGACAGCTGGGCTACGAGAATGTCAGCGTTGCCTTGACGACGGCATACTCCAATGCAAGCGCCTCGGTCAACATTTGGCTGGACGACGTCGGTTGCCGTGGCGACGAGGCAGATCTACTACAATGCCGAAGCTCTGGTCTGGGACAGAGCAACTGTCTCCATAGCGATGATGTTGGCATCGAGTGCTCGGTACCAACCGCACATGTAAGTCTTGGATACTGTAAGACTGGAATGTTTATTGGTTCGTATTACATGACTGCATTGCCAGTAGAGAGGTTTTGCAGAGCGAACATTCGCGCGAATTTTCATTTGACGTCACGAGAAGCGAAACTTTGGGCGGACATTCGCAGTTTTGAACGCGAACGTTGCAGGAAACGTGCAACAAACTTTCGCAGTAATTTTTGCTCATCGAGGACCGGTGGTTCACAGTGAGCCACCCTCAATCCTCACTTTTGTGCTTGGTCCGCGAGTGCTAGCTTTCCCATAGATGTGGTAGCCTGTTGCTTCGTGATCCCGTTTGACTTTGCAAAGAAACATAAAGAATTCGTTAGATTGTGACCTCGCTAACCCACAATAATCCGGAGATCGCTCACTTAAAATTGATATTGAAATATCTGGTCTTGCAGTAACGTTGCTCCTCGTTTCGTTCAACGATAACTCTTATGTCTTCCATCGTCATCGTGCAGGTCTGTGTAGCAAGCTGCTCGGACGGGTTCCTGCCGGAGCGTCTTGTTGTCGGGGGTAGCCTGCAGTGCGTGCGCTGTTCAATGGAGTGCCGCCGGTGTGCCAGTCAATTCGACCACTGTACCAGCTGTCACGCTCCATCGCTGCTGCACGGTACCGACTGCGTGCCCACCTGTCCTGGCGGTTACTATGGCGACGAGGTGAGTGCTACTATTCATCCATTCATCCAGCCATCCATCCATGAATTCATGCATTCAGACTTTTTTTGAAGGATTCTCCAAAAAGTAAATGAGTCCTTATCCAAGGGAGTTTCCTATCAGGGTAATGCTGGCTTGAAAATGCGGATGCCGTTGTATGCCGCCAGGTGTGGTCTTTTCAGCGTTCTCATGAAGAGGTGATATCCATTTTTTGCCACTTTCGAGAGATTGTTCAAACTGCAAATATTGCATACCGTACTCACCTGCATACAAGTGCATGCCCTATATGCGAAAAATGCGTGTTTTTCCATTTTGGTGTAGACGTTGAGCTTTGAGTAGAGCGTACCTCCAGTGGCTGTGCATGGTGGTAATCTGTCTTCTTTATAGCGGAGGTAGTGCGTATCCAACGTCAAGTGACTGGTATGGCGTACTGCCGAGTCCTGAAAATACAATCATGTCGGCTGCCGAAGAACTGGGGTCTGTGTAAACCATGACAGAAATGGCATTTTAGAATTCTTGTGGTTATGGCATGGTGCAATGCCCAGAAAGAAGCGGAAAAGGAAAGAAAAAAGAAGATTAAAAGTATCTAGATTATCACCCTGTGAATGCTTCTTGCTCAGTCTCATGAAGAAATATTGAAGAAAAAAACTGAAGAAAAATCTGCCCTATTTGAGATTCGTACCCGCGACCCTTAGATTACGAACACCATTACTACTTTAGTATCGCGTACTGTACTGTACCTGTGTTCTGGCTCTAGAAATGTCCAGGGAGTCCTGAGAATTAATACTTGTCGAGCGCATGTGACTAGAGGCAGAAGCATGTAGGACAAGTGAATGCATATGAGAATCGGCCCATATGGAATGCAGGACACAAAACCGTCAGATGCCGATCTGTTATTCCTTCAGGCGGATGGTTGTCGTGGTGATCCGCTCGACGGGTACTTGGAAGAAGGTTCAAGGAATGCTTTATTGTTTCTGAATATCAATAGAAAGTGATTTTTGTGCCTATTCCTGTCTATTTTCCATGGAAAAACATATTTTGGAATATGACCACTTAGCTGAGTGCATATGGTATATAAAGCCCTCCCAGTGACAGTAGTAATGTATCACTTCGGTGTTACATATACTAAAATTGGAACGATACAGAGAAGATTAGCATGGCCCCTGCGCAAGGATGACACGCAAATTCGTGAAGCGTTCCATATTTTTTTCCTCCCGAATGACGCCGAACGAATTTCGACATGGATCTTCGCCATTCGTCAACAATTTTTGTGCCTCTTGAATTGCATTTTGTTGGGGTTAGTAATGTGTGGTGCTATGTTGCGTACAGCACTAGTACGCGGAAATACGGTGACCAGACACCTCTGGATTTGGGCATTTGGAATAGAACGTGGATACTCTAATTTCAGAAATTTTCGGTGCTCAATATTTTCGGTATGAGGGCAAAGGGACAGGTTAGGTGAACAGAAGTTTTAGGTACAGAGAAGCAGTTCCCTATTGGATTATATGTGTTGGTGTTTGTTCGGTGTATTGAAATTTTAGGTATGAAACAGATACACCGAAAGTACCGAAAATAAAAGTACACCGAAAATTTGTGGAATTCCAGTAACTGACATAGTATTCAAGTCTTTATAATTGGCGTAATTAGTATACTCGAATGGAGAGCCAAGGATTAAGAAAAAGGACAGTGTCATGCAATGTTATCGCAAGAGCTGTTTGTTATAGTAACTGGTGGTCACGGTTAGTGGACAGTATAGCGTAACTAAGTCTTGTAGTTCCTTGGTCCTTTTTCTTTCTTAGAAAAGAATTATTATACAATATTACATTTTACTGGTTCTTGTGCACAATGGCAAGATTCGAATGCTGCAGATTCAAATATTGTTATAGTAAATACTGGTTGTGTTGTGGCGGTTGATGAGTAAATACTGGACTAGCTCGGATATAAATGAATAATATTTTTTACCCAGTTTACAGCCTACCGGTATGTTGATGATGCAGACGGTTTTCTTCAATTTCCCACTGGTCCACACCTGTTGCAGGTCTTGCAGGCATGTCGGCGCTGCCATGCCTCGTGTGAAGAATGCTCTGGGCCAACGGCAAGCGACTGCGTGTCCTGTTCAATGCCAACGTATCTATACCCTAATGCAATTGCCAATTCCAGCAGCAGCAGTAGCAGTAGCAGTAGCAGTGGTGCTGCAGGTGGTGTTGCCGGCAGTGGACCCGGTGTATGTGTGGAGTCCTGCTCGCCCGGTTTCATCTCCGCACCGAGTGCAACAGTGAGGCTTGTTGATGGAGCTAGTTCTCTGCAAGGTTAGGTATTCAGTACACTGGGTTGATGGTCAAACAGGCCGATACTACGTCTCTGGTAGAGTGTCGGGGGCGGGGGCGTATGAGTGTGTGACTGTATGACCGTATGGATGTATGACCGAGTGTCTGCATGACTGCATGACTGTATGACTGCATGACTGTACGACTATATATGGATATATGACTGTATGACCAAATGACTGTATGGATGTATGACCATATGACCATATGACTGTATGACTTTATGGCTGAGTGTCTGTATGACTGTATGACTGTATGACTGGATGACTGTATGACTGTATGACTGTATGACTGTATGACTGTATGACTGTATGACTGGATGACTGTATGACTGTATGACTGTATGACTGTATGACTGTATGACTGTATGACTGTATGACTGTATGACTGTATGACTGTATGACTGTATGACTGTATGACTGTATGACTGTATGACTGTATGACTGTATGACTGTATGACTGTATGACTGTATGACTGTATGACTGTATGACTGTACGGGTGCTGCAGGTCGTGTGGAGGTGTTCTACAATGGTGAATGGGGTACAGTGTGTGACGACTACTGGGATCTACGCGATGCACAGGTGAGCAAGACACACAGTACAGCGGGACAAAGCACTCTACCAAGTTCCTATATTGACTTATCAAATACAATTCATCTGGAAACAAAAACTTCGTGACTTTTTTCACTAATTTTCGAGTCTGTTCTGTCGCTCTCTCTCTCTGGTTCCGTCGGCCTGAGACACTGACATGACATTTAGGAATCGTAGGAAAGCATGATTCATATTCTGGACAGCCGACAGTCGTCGCAAAGCAAGGGTGGATTACCTGATACAGTCGTGGCCAAAGAAATCCGACCCGCTCACCGAAAGCAGCGCCTAAGCTCATGCTTAACCCTTTATGTACTGGAAAAATTGTACACAGACTGAATTTGATCTCGACTCACCTCAAATTCTATAATTATCTGGGTCATAACTTTAGTCTCCTTTTGACGATTTTTTCAATCTTGGGCTTCCTGGAAAGCTCGTCGCAAGAGGAACACATTGAGCCCACGATTGCCACCACGAAGGTCAAAACGCCAGCGCTACGGCCCAGCGTCTTAGCTGCAACGCCAATATTCCGACAGAAGTCGTCTTGCATCAGCCATTTCGCTCTCCTTGCTCGTAACAACTAACTGTTACTTCAAAAAAAATTCACAAACTGCCATGAGTCCGTTTACCATTTTGAACGTGTTTCTACGTCTCTGCATACCCAGAATGATGGGGAAATCCCTCATTCAAATTTGCGCGAGCGGCTATTGAGCGACATTTGCCGCGATTCGACTTTCGAGCTTCGTAACTCTGGAACCACACATCGGAGCGCTTCAGCGATTGTTTCAATGGACAGCTGGGAGTTTTTTCTTTGACCTACATATTTTAGTTTTCGGATATAACCCAGGAACGACTGAGTTACGATCCATTGAAATTTGAAAAGTTTCGATCCCAGGGGATCGAAAGTTGTACAGGCCGTACACAAAGGGTTAAGCCCTGAGACTCTCGTATGTTTTTGTGGAATTTGTGGAAATGGAAAAAAGTTTAAAACACGGCGCTGCTTTTGACTCAGGGGTCGGATTTCTTTGGCCACGGCTAGCACTGATCAGCCCATTGCACAATGATGTCATTTGTACCATCACCACTCCACGCAGCCACCTGGGCATGGTCTTGTGGGGGGTGTTGAACAGTGCATTGCTGATCCCAGCGTACTCACGTGCATTACTCATGCCTTCCGTATTTGGCAATGCGCAATGGGCTTATTGTTGAAGACTGTTGGTGCAGAACGAAAACTCTGGCTCTGATAGGCAACTCCTCTCTCGGGTCTTTCTTCCAACGATTTCCAATTGTCTTTGCCGCGTTGAATGGGATTTTCGGTCTTTGCCCGCTTTGCTGGAGGGCTGATCTACTCACCTCCCACCGCTTTAGGAGCTGCATCTGTGCCTTTGATCTTTGCAGGGTGGTAGCGTTCATACGGATGCTGAGAACTCAGTCTAACTGAGTCTCAAGCCAACTGTTAAATTTTTAACATGGAAAAGACTTCAAAAATCTGGTTTAGTTGGTGGACTCCGAATAACTTGTGCCCACAATTTGCCATGTTACAATTTTTTTCTTAGCCCGCCATCCGGGCTCGTTAATTGTTTTGTTGCCGGATGTTCTCCCCGTTGCAGGTTGTCTGTGGCCAGCTGCGTCTCGGCACGGCGCTGGTGGCGCAGCGTGGTAACCGTTACCAGGGCGATAGCGGTGGCCAGCGATCGCGACCCGTGTGGCTGCGCGATTTCACGTGCAGCGGCGTCGAAGCTGACCTGCACAGGTTAGTACTGTTAGCAAATTTTCGGCCCTTTCAAATTCCGGCCTCCCCGGGCTAAAACACATTTCGGCCGCATTAAATTTTCAGCCTGTACTGCTGCTGCCTGTATACACTGTCACACTGAACCTTGCAAAACAAAAAAATTCGGCCGCAACTAATTTTCAGCCCAATATGACCAGGCCGAAAAAAGCCGAAAATAAATATGCGCTGAATATTTGAATATTTGTTGACTTACAGTACTAAGTTGAACTCGGATGGTGAGCCAATTTAATTATGGTAAAAAAAATAGGTGTTGTTGTAGTACGTTATTTTGTGTACGTCGTGTGTACGTCATGTTGGTGCATGCGCGTGTTGCTGTGGTATGAAAAGCTGTCTTCGTCTTGAGTTCATCATCATGTCTTCGTCTTGAGTTCGTCATGTATAGTTATGGTTCCGTCGTCTTGTCACAAATATAGTCTTCTAAATGTAGTTATCGTCGCCCATTTGTATAAGTGTGGAGATGGCACGGGACTGGGAGCAGGCATAGAAAGGGAGTTACAACATTGGTGGCAGCGGTAATGGAAATTTGTAAATCTCAACTTCTGGATTCGTCCTGCGTGGCCTTCGCTCCCAGTTTCCGATGTCATCTCCAGTCGTCCTATCGTCACAATTTTGTCCGTCTTGAAGAAGTTCGTCCGTCGTCCTCGTCCTTCATCATTCGTCTCTCCCGTCTCTTGTCAGTCGTCGTCACTGGTGGTCCCGGACACGACGTAAAACTGTGCCCAGAAGAAGAGGAAAAGAAAAAGAAGGATGGATGGTCCCGGACACGACGTAAAACTGTGCCCAGAAGAAAAACTGAAACAGAAAAAAGAAGGATGGAAAGTGAAGGCTGCAGTGTGAGGATGTGGACGCTGAGCAGCGCTCCTTGAGATGGCGGACGACATGGCAGACGGCGTGAGGAGTTTCGTTGGTGAGAGGGTACGTGTGTTTTTGTGAACGTGATGAGTATGTGGGTTTTGTATTTTCTGTTCTCCCAACATTTTGTTCTTTATTATTTGCTCTCCTCGAGGGTAAAGAGGCGCCCGCACAGCGCGTGTGTTCTGTTTGTTTTTTGATTTGCTCTTCTATGAGGTTAACTAGAGGCCCCCACAGAGCCAGTGGATTTTGTTCTTTTTGTTATTCCTATGATTTGTGCTCTCACATTTTAGAATTTTTGCGTGATCGTGAGGTGGTGTGTTGAGTGAAATAGTTTAGAGTTTTTGAGGTTATCAGTTCCTACACGTGTGACAGCGATCGTGGCTGGTGTTCTGGGTGGGCGGACAGAGTTTTTTTGAATGATCTGCAGTGCAGGCAGAGGTATTTTATTTCTGGGTGTGACTGGTGTGGTATGATTGAGTGATTTGTGTGATCTTTTCCTCTTTTTACTCTGTTTTATTATTAGAATCGAGGACGATTCTACTCTTGGGAGGGAGTTATGTTGTAGTACGTTATTTTGTGTACGTCGTGTGTACGTCATGTTGGTGCATGCGCGTGTTGCTGTGGTATGAAAAGCTGTCTTCGTCTTGAGTTCATCATCATGTCTTCGTCTTGAGTTCGTCATGTATAGTTGTGATTCCGTCGTCTTGTCACAAATATAGTCTTCTAAATGTAGTTATCGTCGCCCATTTGTATAAGTGTGGAGATGGCACGGGACTGGGAGCAGGCATAGAAAGGGAGTTACAACAGTGTCAGGTCGCCGTCTCACCGAATGTCTCAGTACGCCTTGTCAGTTTTGTGCCATATTGTCGCAGTCGCTGACTGTATAAGATCTGGGTACGTCGGTGGACAGTTTGTCATGACTGGTAACATTTTGTCCTCCTTTTTTTCATCATACTCACAGTGTTGTATATACCGTGTGTCAGCGCCTTTAAAGCCATGGCCTTATATTCGAAACACCGCTGCTTTCCTAGATATTTTAGATGCAAAATGACTCACCCACTACGCCATGCCATAAAAGTCAAAGTCCACACAGAAATTTCAATCTTAATCTACTTGTTCACCCTTCCTGCTGGACTGTAAGTTTGTTAGCATAGTACTTATTTCTTCATTTTTGCAAAATACACTTCAAATGTCAATTCATTTATGAAGCCCATGACTTTATAACTGAGACTGGCTTTATATTTATTATTATTATTATACGCACGTCCGCGTTTACGTCAACAGTAAGTCCACGTATTCGCATGTGCCAGAAGACAGGCAGAGTGGGCAGGGAGGAAAACAAAAATAAACAAGAGTAAAAAATAAATGTAAGACAGCAGGCGACAGGCACATAACTCATGTTCGATGATAGGTGCTCAATGCACGGGATCTATTCGAAAGATCAAAAAAAATAAAACAAGAATAACAGACAACGACGATAGGTTTGTAGCTCATGGTCGATGATAAGTGCTAAATGCACGGGCTTTATAATCGAATATAATGCCATGGCTTTAAATGTGTGGACATACGGTATTAGCACAGTTGTCATGTCATGGTCGTTGTGTAGAGTGTGTAGACCGATGGGCAAGAAATATTAATATACTCTTGGCGAAAATCCAGGGGCGGGAGATTTATTGAAAGACTGAAAGCCTGATTCTAATCAACTTGATAAAATGAATCGTCAGGCGAAATAGCATGTCATAGTACATTTGAGATCAGCGGGAAGAAGATGACGACGTCCACTAATTTAGTATCTGTGCACACGAATCTGCTGTGTGTGTGACTCTGTGTGTCAGCTATGATATCATCTTCTGTGGTTCCATGCCTAGCATGTACGTCTGAACCATCCTGAAAAGTTTGAATGTCGTAGGTTGAGCGATTGCTCCGCGAAACATACTTTTTGAAATTTTCTTCATAGTATATCTTCCACCATTGAAATTTCGAATTTCTTCAAAAAAGTGCTGAGAGGGGTGGCTTGTAACCTCGATATGGCTTGTTCCAGGCATGCTTTGGAGCCATCTTCTGTTGAAGTAGTGGCGGGGATCTGCCCTGCAACTGCTACAACAAAAAATGATTCGATCTGAGAAAGGGTGAGACCGCGAATCTCGGTTGAATATTGAGTATTTCAAGCCTTTTCACGACGAAGATGGAGTTCTTTTTGGCGATGGACGTCGCGGCAAAGGACATGGTGTCCGACTTCTGGCGTCTGATGAAGCCAGGGTTCATTTGTCCAGTCAGGTCGGCAGCCTAACCGTCGGTAAGCTTGTGTTTGGATCCCGTTCTGCTCGATGTGGTAGATCACAAACAATTTGATATCGCACAAATTGATCTCAGCATCGTGCGTACGGTATTTTATATTCAGAAAATCCCAAAGTGTCTCTGTGTGGCCGTCCTATGCCACGAGAAACTCCAATCAGGCTCCTATGTCCTCTGCCTTCATGATTGAATGTCCACTTCGTTTGAACAACGAACACAACAATCGAGGACGGCTTTGCAATTAAAAATACAGCTAAACTGGAGCTGAAAAAAAGAAGAAAAAACGTGCTCAGGATGAGACTCGAGTGCACACATACTCTCCCAGCCGGTGAAACGCAAATTTTTGTGAAAAATGCGTGTCGCCGACTGACCAGTAATTTCGCCTGACGACTTCTCTGGATAGCCAGTTGTCTAAGGTCCTCAGGCTGCGTATACTGCTCTATGTGCAGTGCTCTATGTGCAGTGCTCTATGTGCAGTGCTCTATGTGCAGTGCTCTATGTGCAGTGCTCTATGTGCAGTGCTCTATGTGCAGTGCTCTATGTGCAGTGCTCTATGTGCAGTGGACAGAGCCAGTAATACAATGATCACACAGCAATGGCGCAAACAAATTCTTTTCTGCAGTTACTCGGAGTTTCATGTGAAACACTCATCAGAAAGCATATATCTCTGGATAAACACTTCTCTGGTTTGTATTCTGGACTGAGAGAGAGAAACCGAACTACCATAAATGTAGTTCTCTGTGAAAGGAAAGATTCACCTGCTTGGACGAAGGAGCACCGAGTTTCTTTTCCTCTTTTTGCTGACCTCGTTGCTATGGACAATGAACATGGCGGTTGTACGCAAGAAAAATCTGTTGCGGAAAATACACGAAAGTACGTAAAACTATTAGTACATGTACATGAATATGGTCTAATTTCACCGAGCACAACTCCAGTATAGTCCTCTAATGTTTAGCGTATCCACGGCGATATACATGTGGCTGTGGTGTGATTGTGTATCCACGGCGATATACATGTGGCTGTGGTGTGATTGTGTATCCACTGCGATATAGTTGTGGTGCAAGTCTTTGTGCTGTTCGCTTTGATTCTTGCTGTCAGCTGCCAAATAGCATCTTGGGGGACAAACGTGTGCAGTCATGACGAGGATGCAGGCATCGTCTGCAGTGGTCCTGACGTGAGTCGTCTTTGCGTGGGCACGTGCCCAGACGGATACACGGTCCTGGAGCCTGGCAACACCAATGGAGACGGTGTGGGTGCCGGCATCACGTTGGCAAGGCAATGCGTGCGTTGCGATGCATCGTGCCTGACGTGTGCTCAGCGTACCGACAGGTGTACCACGTGTCAACCAGGTCTCCGATTGCAAGGTAAGAACTAGGGGTATTATGTATGATGTCATCATGCATAACTGCATGATGTCATCACTCCCCCCTTGGGTGGCTTTGGGCCCCTCGCATCTGGCAATATGTATGATGTCATCATTAATAGCTGGCAACTGGCAACTGCACTATCCAGGATAAACTGACTGTTATGCAATTAGTCAGGGTGGACTCGTGATCATGCTCGTAGCCCGCATGGGGCACGGAGGGGGCACGTGCACCCTCCTAAAAAATTTGACCAAGGTTCAGTATGCACATAATGACTATGAATGACATGCACCAGCCATCCTACACATAAGCAGCCGTGCCCAACCCCCCCCCCCCCCCCCCCCCCCAAAGGTGGAGCAGCTACCCCTCGGAGTGATTGATGTTTTCCTGCTTGCAGGTACGCAGTGTGTGCTGCAGTGTGGTGACGGGTACTATGTGAGTGAAGACGGCGCTGGCAGCATCGACTCCACCGGCGCTACGGTTCAGCAGGGCCAGGGTGGTGATGGTGGCAGTGACGTCACCAGCAGCAGCAGCAGCATCACGTGTCTTCCATGCAGCAGTGCCTGTAGGACGTGTACAGGACCGGGTATCGATAGCTGTCAGGACTGTAACTCAGGTACGTCCACGCACGCACGCACGCACGCACACGTACACACACACACACACACACACAAACGGACACACACTGCACTTGTTGTAATAGTCCACACACCGTATCCTCCCATGCATACATAGTATTACATACGGCTTTCTTCATTCAGCTCTATTTCACGCACTTACCTAGGGTACCCTGTAAAAAGACTCAGTCTGTGGGGATTGCCCTAGTAAAATAATAAATACTACTACTACTACTACTACTACTACTACTACTACTACTACTACTACTACTACTACTACTACTACTACTACTACTACTACTACTACTACTACTACTACTACTACTACTACTACATACCGTACACATTCTGCCCCAGCATGCCATAATTATCGTACCATACACACTAGACAGTGCATTGCCGAGCCACCATGCTCACAGCAGAGACTTCTGTGTGTGTGTTATTGTCGTGAAAGTGGACCACAAAGACATACCGTACACATTCTGCCCTTGCATGCCATAATTATAGTACCGTACAGACTAGAGAGTGTACGTGTCCCCACCAAAACTCTGTTACCAAAAAAGGCAGCACATTGACGGGTGTCACCGTGGTACCACACCGGACCAGGGAGAGGAGTGCGTCGTTGTGAGCGTGTACAGTGCAGGGCCAGATAATATTATTGTCTGTCGGTGTTCGCCATGCTGTGGAAGGTCTAGTGTTGGGCACGGCTTGTGCCAATCCTTTTCTACTTGTGTTCTTTTGGCTTTTCCCTCTCTAGGATTCTATCTGAAAGAAAGTAGCTGTCAGAGCGACTGTTCAGCGTCACGCGACGAGATGGTGCTGACAAGAAACACGACGGCAGAAGCGCTGGGAATACGCTTAGCTGGAGGTGGTGGCGACGCCACTGTCCCTTCGTCATCTCCCCGGCTCGGCGGACGTGTCGAGGTGCTTATCAACGGTCGCTGGGGCACGGTGTGCGACGATCTATTCGATCTGCGCGATGCGCTCGTTGTTTGTCGGCAGCTGGGCCTCGGACCGCCGACGGAGATCGTGCGCCTTCTCGGCAGCTCGGCATTGAACATCACCCAGACGGCTCTGCCAATTCTGCTGGACGACCTGAAGTGTGTGGGCGTAGAGGACAGTCTTCTTGATTGCGAGTACGGCCAGTCAAACTGTGGACATTCGGAGGATATTGGCATTGTGTGCTCGCCGCGGGCAGTGCAAGCGCAGCAGTGCGTGAACTCGTGCCGCAGTGAGGACGGCCGTTATCGTGTGAACGCTGGGCAGTGTGCGGTGTGCGCGTACCCGTGCCAGACCTGTGACGGCGCGACGGCGTCAAGCTGTGTGACGTGTCGCGATCGGCATTACCTTGACGACGGCGGCAGCAGCAGCTCGGCGGCATGTGTACGCTCCTGTCCCCGTGGTATGTATGGCAACACGGACCTGCGCCATTGCCTTCCCTGCAGCGGTGAATGCTCAACATGTTACGACGGAGTCAACGCCTCTCTCTGTCGTACCTGTCCCGCCGGTCGTGCCCTGCATGGCACCAGTTGCCTGGCAACCTGTCCGGACGGCATGGTAACGCTTGAATCCATCCTTCCGCTCACCACTGGCACTAGTGACAACCTGTGCACGGCAGATCAGCGTTTGTGCTTACGGGATGGTGACAGTAATGCCGGAGGACGAATTGACCTGAGACTCACCGCCAATGCCACCAGCGGAGGCAGCAACGCAACAGACGATGGTGGAACTACTACGCACACAAACACGTCTGTTTTCGGCACGGTGTGCGACGATCTGTTCGATCTCGTCGACGCCAGCGTAGTATGCCGTCAGCTTGGTCTCGGTTTGGCCTCGTCAACCCTACGTGCCATTAGCAATCACATACCGGCGGGAACCGGGCCGATATACCTCGACGACGTCGAGTGCATCGGCTCGGAGAAGTCCATTCTCGACTGCCCGGCCCGGTCGGGGCAGGGCTGCTCTCACAGTGAGGACGTGGGCGTTCAGTGCGACCCGGGCGCAGCTCTGAGCGTGGAGAATCAGTGTGTGCGCGTTCGCATCGGCAAGTGCACATCACGGTCTTGTTATCCTGGTAAGATCTCACATCGCACAATTCAGGTGCGAATTATCAACAAGTGTGACTTATACTCAGGGAAATATGGTAGCAGTGCAGACACTGTGAATCAACTGTTCATGGGCTGTAGTGCATGAAAACAAGAACATTTTAGGGTACGAGGCTCAAGCCCATCCCCCCCCCTCCCAATTCTTTGCCCCCCCCCCCCCCCCCAGTTCTTCGGTGACCGACAGTACTGTAATAATTATAGTAGTTAGATACTGGGTCCGGGGTCCTGGCCGTGAAATGCATGCAAACCAGAGTTTGGGGATATCAGCTGCTTTTACCGTTGGGCGGCTCAATAATATAGCCAAAAGATTCATCTTTGCAGGGCTCCTTTTGAATAATTATATGAGCGGCAATCAGCAAAAACGACCCTTAGAGATTTCGTCATTTTTTCGAGAAGAAGGTCGATTTGTGACGTTCAACGATTTTTTGATCGCGCTGCAAACAGCGTGACGACTTCTTGAACTCCTTGCTTGAAGTAATTTATTTGAAGTTGAAGTGGTGTCGTGTGGCGACTCCAGTGTTCCTTGATCTTGTTGCGATGGCTGCGGACGCCAGAGCTGTTCGCAGAGCACACACGGCAGTCATTGTGTACAGCTAGCTCGAGCCTGGTGGGGTGTGGATGCTGAAGTAGCCGCTGAAGTTCTGAGAGTGAGGACGAGACCTTCTTTGGTTCCGACATCGATGTCGACAGCGAGGCGGAATCTCAGCCGTCATCTCCTGCTGCGATGCGGCTCAAGGTGGCCGATGACTCGTCAGAGTCGGCAGATGAGGAGTCGTCTGAGATAAATTCTGAGTCTGGGGCTACTGAAGGCAGTGACGTCGTGTCTTCAGTTGCGGAGGAAGAAATGGAAGCAGGATGCAGCTGCGAATATGTCGATCATTTCTCCGCACTCCTCAGCTATTCTTTGTCATAATAGCTGAATTTTGGCTTTTACTGCTCATTACGAGTGTTTCCATAGCTCTCTCCTACAATGCAAACATCAGCTGTCTGGGGGAAATCGGCAAACTCAGCCTGAGTCGTGTGCACTGTAGAATCCCACTGGTGGGTTTGTACAACGAAGCTTGGCGATGTTCGACCTTGACCTAGGCTTATGCACGGGTGGGTTTATCCGCTGGATTCTACGGTATATCGGGGATACTATGAAGGGGGGGGGGGGGGTCCGGGGGCAAAGCCCCCGGATGATGCATTTTTATTTTTTCAGTCTACTGATATTTGGCTATAATGATGTGGCAACACTGCCCTAAGGGCTGTTTTCGCTGGTTGAGGCCCATATCTCCAGTCTCCGGGAGAGACCCACGTGACCAATTTCTGGCCGTGAGCAAGTACAGGTAGAAACGTGGCAGCAGGCTCTCTGCTGATTGTCCACTCAGTGAAGTTTGGATTTACAGCAAAACAGTCTGTCTCATTTCCTGTACCGTGGGTGTGTGTGTGTGGGGGGGGGCTGTGTATTTGTGTGTGTGTGTGTGTATCTGTCTGTCTGTCTGTCTGTCTGTCTGTCTGTCTGTCCGTGCGTGCACATGTGCATGTGTATTGACACACTCCTTCTTGATCATGACTACTCTCTCTCTCTCTCTTTCTCTCCCGTGTTTGTTTCAGGTACCGGCTGCTTGAACATCGGGCTGAATGAATTTGTGTGCCTCGGCTGTCCTCTTGGCTACATCGGGGATGGTGTGGAGTGTATCGGTAAGATAGGCAGCCACCGCAGCAGTGTAAATCTCCGTTGAGAACACACATTTTGCTGGTGTCATAGGGAAAAACCGGGGGAGTGTGTGTGTGGTGGGGGGGGGGTGGTGCTTAAGGAGAAGGTTGTTGTGGTGGTGTGTGTGTGGGGGGGGGGGGTGCTTGAGGAGGAGGTTGTTTGTGGTGGTGTGTGTGGGGGGGGGGGGGGTGCTTGAGGAGAAGGTTGTTGTGGTGGTGGTGAGAGAGAGAGGGAGAGGGAGAGTGTGTGTGTGGTGGGGGGGGGGGGCGAGGGAGGGGGGGGGGGAGGGAAAGAGGGGGGGGAGGGAAAGAGGGGGGGGGGGGGGTCTAACACAGTTGACAGTGCGTACCGCTTTTGGAGAACGAAACATGGAAATCTTGGCTTGGACTGGACTGGCAAGGTAAAATGAAACAAGAAGTGCGACACTGATATCATCTGCCTGGTGGTCTAAATCATTGAGCACCCCACACCACCTGTGATCGACATCCTTGACTCAAGGGGCAACCCGCGCTGCTCATGGTCTACATCCTTGAAGTACCCTACAGCATTAAACAGCTGACACTGTATTGGCTTAACTCCTTGTGCGGTCAGCCATCATCGCCTGCGTGTCTGTTTGTTGTCGTGTTTTCTCACGGCAGCATACTCGCTGACTTCACCCAGTGTCGAGGACGCTCCCGTTGACTTGTTCATAGGAGGTGGTCAGACGCCCGCTTTCAAATGTCTAACCGCCGGCAACCCAGCCCTGAACTGGTAAGCCGAGTTTCTGCCTGGTCTTTTTAAAGCTTTCCAATTGTGGCCTTCAATAAGTTCACTGGTGACATGCCTTGCAACTCACTTAGCATGACATACAGTAAAACCTGTGACTAACGACCACCCCTTGCCTTGGGGCCAGAAAAACCAGTCCTTAGTGGCAGGTGGTCCTTAGTTAGAGGTTTGCACCGCACCACCATAATAATAATATGAATGTGAGACCGTCCGTGCCTGGTGAAGTGGTCTGTAGTGCCAGGCTGGTCGCTAGTCACGGTGGGCTTTAAAATAGAAAACGTTATGCAGAAATCGATACTTATGCTGTTAGTAGCGAGTGTTGAGAATGAATGAGAATCAATACCTTTGCTACATGTAAACCGGTCAATTTTCGGAAATCGTTATAATCAGGGGCGGATCCAGGAGGGGTTCCAGGGGTTCCGCGGAACCCCCTAAATTTCGTAAATGTACTCCATGTACTGGCAACCATACGCGCGTCCATGTACATGTAGATGTACATGTACATGGACTGAGCTACTAGCATTCAGTTTTGAGTCTTTTGACTATTGGAACCCCCCCCCCCTCTAGAGATCCCTGGATCCGCCGCTGATAATTGCGGCTCGGCAGACTAATTGCTTTTGCAGCACTCTGATTACACATGCCCTTGCTTAGTACACACTCTGATTACACATACCCTTGCTTAGTACATACTCTGATTACACCATGTTGGTTCCAACTCCAGTCAGCCCTTGCATCTATGGGTCACATGACGTCGGCCATGTTGGGTACAACTCCACTCAACCCTTGCATCTATGGGTCACATGACGTCGGCCATGTTGGTTCCAACTCCAGTCAGCCCTTGCATCTATGGGTCACATGACGTCGGCCATGTTGGTTCCAACTCCAGTCAGCCCTTGCATCTATGAGTCACATGATGTCGGCCATGTTGGTTCCAACTCCACTCAACCCCTGCATCTATTGGTCACATGATGTCGGCCACTTTCAGCTCGTGCTTGTCTTGGTTGCGCTCACCTTCCCCTCCTATGTTATGATATGACTTAGAACCTTCCAAGTTGGAAGGCTGTTGGAGTGCGCATCCAAGATGTGCTAGAGCTGTTAGCCAGTTCGTTGTAGAACGTCAGTACCGTCGATCAGGGTTGTGCAATGTTATCGCATGAGCTGATTGTTTTGTAGCTGCTGGTGGTGTTAGTGGACATTATAGCGTAACTTGTAGTTCCTTGGTCCTTTTTCTTGTTTATACATTAAATTTTATCCTTGGCTCTCCATTCGAGTCCAAATAGAGGCAAGAAAGAAAATAAGAGTATGAACCGCTGGCTGCAATAGCTTCTCTCTCTGTGTCATTTCTTTTTCTTCTTCTTCTTCTTCTCCGCTTTGTTCGGGGTCAGGTACAAGGATGGTGTTCTTCTTCCTGTGGCTCTGCCTGACCTCACACCCAACGCCAGGTACTTCAATCTGCTCTCGGCGTCAGCGGAGATCAGCCATCTCGGCACGCTGTCCATTGCCAGGTTCGAGCCGGCGGTGGACACGGGACGGTACGACTGTGTCGTGCGCAACACACGCGGAGAACGGAGAGCATCGGCAACTCTCCAACTACCAGGTCAGTTTTGTTACTGCATGTAGCAGAGAATCCGTTCTAGCACGTTGCTAGCATGACAGGACCGGTGGACCTGGCAGGTTTTCACAGGTCCGGTCACATCACAGTGACCTTACATAGAGTTATGTCCCATCACAGTGACCTTGCATACAGTTATGTGTATGGTAATGGTGGTTATGCAGTCATTACCTCTTCCGCAGTAACACATGGGTTGGTGGTAGTGGTGAAACGGATACTAGTATTTGACTATTCGAACATTCGTTCGGTTTGTCACATTCGAATATTCTTTAAGAAATTAAGTCACATTCGAGTATTCGTTACGTCACTTCGAGTGCAGTGCATGTATTATACAAGCACACCGAACACAATACAGTGCAGTGCGTACAGCCTACCTGTGACTTTGTACTGCATATTTGCACATGTAAGTCCATACTGGACTGCCAATGTTGCACATAACATGTATGAACTTTGAAGTACCCTTATGTGGCAGTACATTTGATGTGGCACTACCGCTTGTCATACCTAATAATAATGAAAATATCCATCAAATGACTGAGAGGAGGGCCTGTGATGGCATCTCTGTTCCCAAAAGAATGTTCGTTTGTTCGTTCGATAAGCCAAAGAAGATTCGGTTACTAGATTTTGACATTCATTTCACCACTAGAACTTGGCGGCCATACCGTTTGTGTATGATATGGCGGTTATACAGTCATGACCTCTTGCGCAGTAACACATGGCTTGATGGCCATACAGCTGGTCCGGTCATGGCCTTACCACAACCAACCGGACTGGTTCCACCGCCCTTGCACAATGGGCATACGTGTTGTTCATCCCAGCACTGGTCAATATGTCTCTCCGCCGATAATATTACGGTTTTTTTCTCACTCTGTCCATCTGCCCAACGGTCGGTCACATACAGTTGCCGTGGCGATAACCTCGTTCCCGGACGTTACTGTGGCAACCGGTGCCGATGCTGTCCTTGCCTGTACGGTGCGAGGACGGCCCGTTCCCGCGGTTGCATTCTTCCATAACGGCGTTGCCATAGAGACCCGTAACTCCAGTTTTCAAACGACCAAGTACAAGGTGAGTTGTGGCCAATGTTTCGTTGTATTGTACCATGTGATCTGCAGTGCAAGTAGGGAGGGCCCAAATATGCTCAAAAATTTCGCATATTGGCCACTTGCTTCAAGATATGCTTCGAAATCACACAAAAGCAGAAAAATATGCTCGAATTATGCTTGATCACCAGAACTGATATCAGTGATAATTATGCGAATTCTTTGCTCCTTGTAGCAAAATATGCTACATTTGGTACAATATGCTAGATTTGCTACTTTATGCGACCTCGAGTCTAAAGGACCAAAATATGCGAAAATATGCGCAAGCATATTCGGGCCCTCCCTAAGTGCAAGGCACGTTAATATTTCGCAATAAGGGGCTGTCCGGGGTTATCGACTGTTTTTCGAGAAAAAAAGATTTTTTTTGGAGGTGGGTGGGCTAGGGTTTTTCCGATGGGGGCTGAAAAATACTACCGGTTAATTAATCTTTTCATTTTCAACGAACAATCGGTAAGCCCGGACAGCCCCTAACTGGGCAGGACTTTTGCTGGAGGATTTCTTTTGGCAAAAATCCGACCTGCAGCTCAAGCCGCCGTGCAGCATTCTCAGGATTTGGCCAGGAGTTTGCATCCAAATTCCAAAAGTTTTTTAATTTTATTTTTTAAACTTAGCACGATGCTTGTCGCAGCTTCACTGATACCAAAGAAAGAATGAAAAGAAAAGAAAAAATGGTTCTAATTACATATATGAACTTGGATGGAGAGCATGAGCATGAGCTGATTGTTTAGTAACTGGTGGTGTTAGTGGACATTATAGTGTAACTTGTAGTTCCTTGGTCCTTTTTATTTTTTATAAATCACATATATGCTGTGACATTGGCTGGAACCGTACAGCTCTAAAAGTTCATGTAAGAGTCCTTTCCAGTTCAGAAATAGAAACCAACCGGACTATCATGTTCTTTAGCGCGATGTGCACGATAAGGGCAGGGAGAGGGGAGAGGGGAGGGGAGGGGGGGGGGGGTCCTAAACCTCATTGTGGCTGACACCTTGTGAGACATGTCATTTTCGCCGGTAAGGAATGGCTAAGTATTGGGTCGCTATTATGAGATAAGATGGATATATCGTCATTCAGTAACCATAACAACTGAGATCGTTAGCAGCAGCAGCGCATGCCGCATTTGCCTGTACACCGGTTAAATCCACCTTTCATGAACCCCTGATTCCTATCCGTAATATATTAAATTGTGTGCCTGTGTGTGTGTGTGTCTTTGTACGTGTCTGAATGCATTTGTGTGTGTGTGTGTGTGTGTGTGTGTGTGTGTGTGTGTGTGTGTGTGTGTGTGTGTGTGTGTGTGTGTGTGTGTGCGTGTGCGTGTGTGTGTGTGACCGTCGTGGTTGTCACTGAGTAGAACATAACCGATACTTCCTTACTCATCTACAAGACAAGCCTGGTAGATAACGGTGTGTATGAATGTCGAGCCACATCCCAGGTTGCAGGGGCTTTCATGGAAGTTACGAGAAACGCCACGCTATCCGTTTTGGGTTAGTTCTGCCTTGTGTAAATCTCTGCACGTATGTTGGGTAGGGGCAGTGCGTCTGACTGTATGTCTGTCCGTTCGTCCTTCCGTCCGTCTGTCCTCGTCTCTCATCATTATCATTCTGAAGGAGAAAATCGTCGAAGCGTTAAAAATTATCAGTCTCAATCAATCCGGTGTTGCTCCTGCCTGCCGGTGAATGCCTTCCTGCCTGTCTGTGTGCCTACCTACCGCCCTCAACATCCCCCGCCCGCCCTCAACATCCCCCGCCCGCCCTCAACATCCCTGCCCGCCCTCAACATCCCCTGCCTGCCCTCAACATCCCCTGCCCGCCCTCAACATCCCCTGCCCGCCCTCAACATCCCCTGCCCGCCCTCAGCATCCCCTGCCCACCCTCAACATCCCCTGCCCGCCGTCAACATCCTCTGTCCGCCCTCAACATCCCCTGCCCGCCGTCCACATCCCCTGTCCGCCGTCAACATCCCCTGCCCGCCCTCAACATCCCCTGTCCGCCCTCAACATCCCCTGTCCGCCCTCAACATCCCCTGTCCGCCCTCAACATCCCCTGCCCGGCCACAACATCCCCTGCCCGCCCTCAACTTCCCCTGTCTGCCCTCAACATCCCCTGCCCGCCCTCAACATCCCCTGTCCGCCCTCAACATCCCCTGCCCACCCTCAACATCCCCGCCCGCCCTCAACATCCCCTGCCCGCCCTCAACATCCCCTGCCCGCCCTCAACATCCCCTGCCCGCCCTCAACATCCCCTGCCCGCCCTCAACATCCCCTGCCCGCCCTCAACATCCCCTGCCCGCCCTCAACATCCCCTGTCCGCCCTCAACATCCCTACCCGCCCTCAACATCCCCCGCCCGCCCGCCCGCCCGCCAAATGAGCTTCACTGATTATGTACTTTGTGTAGTTCAAATGTTACACCGAAAATGCTACATCATCTCCAGAGAAAATTCAGTAACCTCAGCCACATGATTTGGCCAGGAGCCATCATCAGGATTGAGTTGAAAATTGGGTGTATCACCACAGGGGGGATATTTACTACCCATGTGATCAGCAGACAACAGGACTACTGTATTGGGTCTGATTGAGTGACGCGAGCGAGCGAGGGGGGGGGGGGGGGCACATGCACCCTCCTAAAAATTTCGACCTAGGTTCAGCATGCACATAATGACCAGGAATGACATGCACCAGCCATCCTACACATATGCGGCTGTGCCACTCCCTCCTCTCCCCCTTAAAACGGGAACCAGCTGCGCCCTTGCCATTTGTGGCATAACTGAGAATCACGATCTCTCGTTGCTGTTGCACAGATCTGCCCGTATTCACTCAGCGACCGACGGACGTATCCATAGCAGAGGGTGGCAGCTGGCTGTTTCCCTGTGTTGTCCTGGCGACGGGGACGGCGGTATCGTCACCCTCATCCGTGTCAGCTACAGCTCGCCTATGGACATGGAACGACCGACCCATCGTCGAATCACGTCAGCGCTTTCTCCTGCACCCTGACGGCAGTCTGGCCATTGTCGGAGCGCTGCACTCGGACGGTGGTCGTGTTAGCTGCATAGCCAGCAACCTAGCCGGCGTTGTGTCCGCCAGCGCTACTCTGAATGTCAGAGGTAAGAAGTTCTAGTGTTGAAACGACCTCATCGGATACTCGTTAGCTCGCTCGCCAGAAACTCGGCTCGTTTGTGCGGCCAGCTCGTTTGCACTAACGAACACCGTACACCGTACTCCGTACACATGGCAGTACATGTCGACCGGGGAGTCGTAAAATATTTTACGACTCCCTGGTCGATCGAGAGTCCAGTCCCGCGCAAAGTGAAAATCACTCGCAGTTACAGGTGACTGTATGCCTGCACGACACTTGAGTTGTTTCAGTTGTCGTTGCAGCTTTGGTGGACTCTACTGATGTCTTGTTCCGCATCTGCTGACCTGTCGCAGGATATGCTTCGGTCACCTCTCCATTCGAGTGAAAGTTACGCTCAGTCGTTTGGAAGTGTTTTCCCCGCGATGCAGCGAAGACCAGGGCTACTTCCAATCTTTGCAAAACGGTCTATTCTTACAAAGGCTAATCGACGATGGCGCTGAAAGACATCTCGACACCAACCAGCAGTCCGAAGTGAAGCAGCAGCAACCCCAAATGCCGGCGGTGATAATTTGAACCAGCTGAAAAAATCGAACTTAGAAAAAAATTATTCAAAAAAATAATCATATTTGCCACATCAATGAAACTCGTTAGCTCGCTCGATAGCTTGCTCGTTAGTGGAACTGATCGCTCGTTTGTTATAGATACGCTCGTTTCAACACTACTAAGAACCGTGTTTCCTATAGGCCAGTCAGCAATACCGTATTCTCCGGAGTACAAGCCGAACTGGAGTACAAGCCACACTGGAGCATAAGCCGCACCCCCCCCCCACCCCGTTTTTTTGCCACGAAATACAGACATCCTACCCTATTTACCACCGTTAATTTGATCATCGGAATATAAGCCGCCCCCCTTTTTTGGGTGAATTTTGAGTGCTCAAAGTGCGGCTTGTACTCTGGAAATATGGTAGTTGGCATGGAAACATGTATGAATCAGAATGGCTTCCAGCGTCTGTGCGTGATAGCATGGAGTGACTACCGATGTTTGAGTTTGTTATAATGTACTATAGAGGTGCCACCGTACCCCATGCTTACGTTGGTAAAACGTAGTGGATCTACGGAAAGTCTTACGTTCACTGCATGCGGATCCGTGTTCCGCCATACGTGGTTTTTGAATCACGTAGCTACCTTTGGCAACTCCGAGCACGACAATGGACGACCCAGAGGGAGAGAGAGGGGAGAGAGAGAGAGTAAGTTACATTTATAAAGACAGGTAAGTCTAACAAATGAGGACTGAGACCTCTACAACAGGGTTTTTACGCCTGAAAGCAGGTGCATGATTTAACAAGCAGGTTGTCAGTCTAGATTTTATGCGCAGATGGAGAAAAAGCGCAGAATTTTTGTAATGAGATGAAAAGCAGAAATAATAAGAAATAATAAGAAAAGATGCAATGAAAGCCTGCTCACAACCCCGCCCAGCCTTGCGAACTGGGTATGGTGGATTAAGAACCCGGTTCAACGCTCGAGCAAGCGCTCTCCACTCAAGGTGTTCACAGCAACTGATAGGAACTCATATGGGGAAATTATAGAAAAGAAATAATAAGATAAAGAGAATAAATTTCAACGCACCTCAATAAACGGAGCCCCACATACAGTACCTCAGAAAAGTGGATCTTCCGACCAGTGTTTTTGTTGACGCCGCAACCAGATGATGTAGCTGCTTCGCAGAGACGTCTTACTGCACAAATTACAAATAAATTTTATTCTTCGATTAGAAAATCCAAGCGCTTTCAGAGCCCTCCGAAGAGAGTCCGGGATGAAACCACGCACACCTACCTCAACCGAAAAAGAAACGACCTGCCATCCGTTTGCTCGGCATTGATCGGCCAGATCCGCATACCGCCTGTCCTTCCGCGAGTTACTGACACTGAATCTGTCCTCAGCACAAACTGTCAACTCCATCCAGAATACAATCCTACGACTCGTAGAGTACAGAACTATATCTGGTCTTAGGGTGGTAAGTGCAACACAGCTAGGGAAAGAAATCTTTGCACTAACTGAGTCGACAAGAAGTTTCCAGTCTGAGGCCGCTGACAGGAGATCAGTCGTAACCAACTTTCGTCTGGGCTGAACGCGAACTGGCTTCTCTCCCGCCTTGCAAAACGAGATGAAGTCAAGCTCATTTGAATTTGAGAGAGAGAGAGAGAGAGAGAGAGAGAGAGAGAGAGAGAAGAGAGAGAGAGAGAGAGAGAGAGAGAGAGAGAGAGAGAGAGAGAGAGAGAGAGAGAGAGAGAGAGAGAGAGAAAGAGAGAAGAGAAGGAGAGAGAAAGAAAGAGAGAAAGAAAGAGAGAGAGAGAGAGAGAGAGAGAGAGAGAGAGAGAGAGAGAGAGAGAGAGAGAGAGAGAGAGAGAGAGAGAGAGAGAGAGAGAGAGAGAGAAAGAAAAGAGAGAAGAGAGAGAGAGAGAGAGAGAGAGAGAGAGAGAGAGAGAGAGAGAGAGAGAGAGAGAGGGAGGGAGGGAGGGAGGGAGGGAGGGAGGAGGGAGGGAGGGGAGAGAGAGAGAGAGAGAGAGAGAGCGCGCGAGAGAGAGAGAGAGAGAGAGAGAGAGAGAGAGAGAGAGAGAGAGAGAGAGAGAGAGAGAGAGAGAGAGAGAGAGCGAGAGAGAGAGAGAGAGAGAGAGAGAGAGAGAGAGAGAGAGAGAGAGAGAGAGAGAGCGAGAGAGGAGGAGAGAGAGAGAGAGGAGAGAGAGGAGAGAGAGAGAGAGAGAGAGAGAGAGAGAGAGAGAGAGAGAGAGAGAGAGAGCGAGAGAGAGAGAGAGAGCGCGAGAGAGAGAGAGAGAGAGAGAGAGAGAGAGAGAGAGAGAGAGAGAGAGAGAGAGAGAGAGAGAGAGAGAGAGAGAGAGAGCGAGAGAGAGAGAGAGAGAGAGAGAGAGAGAGAGAGAGAGAGAGAGAGAGAGAGAGAGAGAGAGAGAGAGAGAGAGAGAGAGAGAGAGAGAGAGAGAGAGAGAAAGAGAGAGAGAGAGTCATACATGTATACTCCAATCCACTTACGGAGCACCTCCATTAGTAGAGCCCTACTTACGAACTCTACGTTGACAACTTCCCGTCATGGCTGGAGTCGCGATTTCCCGGGTTTTCTTGCCCACTTTCGCGAAGCTGTCAACTTTACGTAGTGCGGAACCTTTCTATTGGCTTCCGGACTGCAGCTGGAAGTGACAAATCTCTATTGAAGCCGGTTACCGTAGTTTATGGACTAAAAGCCGCATCCCGAATATTTGTAACAAGAAACAGACATCTAGTTTGTATTGAGATTCATTTCACCTTGGTAGTGTAAGCCGCACCAATCTATTTTGGGTGTATTATGAGTGTTCGCAGTGCGACTTATGCTCCGAAAAATTCAGTACTTTTTTGCTATTGGTCAGCGAGCAATGTTTTTTCCTCCATGAGGGGTGGCAAGTATGCCTCTATTGTGGGTGTGTGTGTGTGTGTGGGGGGGGGGGGGGTGGAGGGTGGAGGGTGGAGGGGCGGTTGGGCCCTGGAAACTCCCTTACTTATAGTTGGGCAAGGGAGTGGGAAGGGGGGGGGGAGGGGGCTGTTTGGCCCTGGAAGCTCCCTTACTTAGAGTTGGGAAAGGGAGTGGCACTATCAACAAAGGTACCGTATTTTCCGGAGTATAAGCCATGCTTTGTAAACACCAGTAATTCGCCCAAAAAGCTGCTGCGGCTTGTGCTACAATGATCGAAATTAATTAGCTGGGATGAACAGCGCAGATATCTGCATTTTGTGACAAAAAGTCTGGCTGCAGCTTATACTCCAGTGCGGCTTATACTCCAGTGCGGCTTATACTCCAGTGTGGCTTATACTCCAGTGTGGCTTATACTCCAGGGTGGCTTATACTCTAGTGTGGCTTATACTCCAGTGTGATGAAGGAAAGCGTGCACACAAAGTGAATATCTGAAATGATCATGCTGGGGAGTTGCTACGCGCAGTGAGTTTCTGTCAGGGAGTGCTATTTTTATTACTCAGCTGCTCGCAAAACAAAACGGGCTAAAAACGAACAGCGGGACCACTACAACATGTGATGTAAGCTTTCGCTGTCGGCGAACCCCATAGAATGGGTATCAGGAGTTGCACTATAGCACTCTTGTGAGCTCAGTTATCTACTTTTGTTTATACTTGTTCTTGTTGTCCATCTTTTTGTTCTCCACATGTTTTCCAGTAGAGCTGTGTTAATAGTAAAATACACTGCACTCCTGAATGTACTGTACTCTAGGTTTGGGCATAGCCTGACCCATTCCAGCTGGGGGAAACCCCTCTTGAACTGACTCATTCCAGCTGGGGGAAACCCCTCTTGAACTGACCCATTCGGGGAAACCCCTCCTGAACTGACCCATTCCTGCTGGGGAAAACCCCTCCTGAACTGACTCATTCCAGCTGGGGAAACCCCTCTTGAACTGACTCATTCCAGCTGGGAGCAATCCCACTTGAACTGACTCATTCCAGCTGGGAGCAACCCCTCTTGAACTAACTCATTCAAGCTGGGGGCAACTCCTCTTGAACTCACCCATTCCAGCTGGGAGCAACTCCTCTTTGACTCATTCAAGCTGGGTGCGACACCTCTTGAATTGATTGTTGTTGGCCCTGCAGGCGTGTGGATTGATGAGAACTCCACCATATCGCTGACGTGCGGTGCAGGACTGCCCCCAAGCGCTGTGGCAACCTGGACGCACGACACTGTCGCCTTGGCAACCGGGAACCGAGTGCAGGTATCGCGCGATGCGTTGACGATTGAACGCGCCGCGCCGCAAGATGCCGGTGTCTATCAGTGCGTTGCCACGGAGATTGGCCCGCAGGATGGGAGGCCAGTACAAGTAGTGAAAACGCACACTGTCTTTATTTCATGTGAGTAAGGCAAGCCAAGGCCAACAAATCGAGATTCCCGGCCAGCACCCATGTGAAATTGGTGCGCGCTGTTGAATTTTGTTATTTTATTTTAGGGGAAGTTAAGCCTAAAATCAAAATTTCACCAGTTGTAGTCTTCGGGGTGCTGAGTCGAATGGTCTTGGTCCGAGAAAGCTGAGACGCTCCGTCCTTCCTTTATTCTGAATCGAACTCGCGCACTTCCACCGAAACTGGGTGACTGCGCCCTACTAGATGGGGATTTGTATGCAAAATGTCACTAAAAGCGCCATTTCGTTCTTATAAAAGCACGGATGACCGTGATTGGCCCATATGTTGTAGTCTTTCGGATGCTGAGTCGACTGGTTTTGGTCCGAGAAGGCTGCGATGCAGCATTCGGACCGTTTTTCCAATCGAACATACATGTACTGTCAACTTTGTGTATAACGACACTCGGCGGGGCATCAGAAAAGTGTCCTTAATGGCTTATTCGCGAAGTGTCCTTATATCCGAACTCTTGTAATTATGTATTACAGTGAGATGGGACTTTGCTCTGGGCAAGGAAATTCTGTCGTTATTCGCGAATTGTCGTTGTATCCGCAGTCGTTATAAGCGAAGTCGACTGTAGTTGAATATGCGGTCACATGCTCATGCGTGCACAAGTCACCTGGTCACCGTGCCTGCAGGCTACAACTTTCACACCAGGGGTCATTTCGAGTTCAGCTCGAGGGACAGGAAAACGCCCAAACAGCCTGTAAGTTGAGTGTAAGTCAGGAGTGTCTCAGCTTCCTCGGACCAAGACGATTCGACTCAGCACCCCGAAGACTACAACTGGTGAGGCTTAACTTCCCAGGGGCGTGCTCGGCCCCCCAACTAGGGGGGTGCACGGGAGCCGAGGGGAGCCCCCCCCGGCAATTTTCTGCAATTTGTTTGCAACCTTTCTTTAATTTTAGAGCATATTTGCATACATTGCAATTGCCTTGGATCCCTGTAAGCCAGGTACTTCACAAAGGCACAAAACAGCAGATTTGTGGATTTTTCCGGAGACTGACTCATTACCAACAATGAACAGTCATGGATTATTGATATGAAGTAACTGTTATAGCAGCTGAGGAAAAAAGTGCACCCATTTTGGTCAGGGGATGGCCCACGCCTGAAAATAAAAAGAGAAACAAAGAAAAAAGCAAAAAACGGCACCCATTTTTTCGCTGCAGCAACAGCTCCCGCAGCAACAGTTGCAGAACGACCGAACGCTTCACTTAGAGTTAGCTGCGGCAGCGTGGAAGCTTTGCGCAATGACTTCAATGACGGCGGTCGATTTGACATTATGAAAAGAGCAGCTCAGTCATAGTCAGATATCCATACTTCAGGAAAGAAATCAAAGAATCCAGAGACCTGAAAGCAAGAAATCGAAACCGGGAAAGAATCCGACTGTCGCAAGGTACTAATGTTTATGCTGTGCACAGTGTAGATCTACATGTAAAATTCTTGTTCGCGCTGCACGTGTACGTGTAGAAGGCCGTCTGCACGTGTACGTGTACATGAAGGCCGTTTGCACGTGTACGTGTAGAAGGCCGTCTGCACGTGTACGTGTAGAAGGCCGTCTGCACGTGTACGTGTAGAAGGCCGTTTGCATGTGTACGTGTCACATCCGAGGTGCAGTATTATTTTTTTCAAAACCCAGATTGAAAATTTTTGGGGGGTGCACGTGCCCCCCGTGCCCCTCGCCGAGCACGCGCCTGCTTCCCCTTTAACGCTTCGTTAACACTGTTCATGCATTGGTTTTGTATGTAGAATGCACTTTTTCATTTGCACGTACAGTTGTGCTTTGTATAATCCGACCCACAGCGCATATTTGGCGCCCTCTGCTTGCACGGCGCTTGACGCGGCCCTGGAAGTGGTACGAATGCTGCATTACTGTGCAGGTACAGTCAGGCGCGTCGGACATGCTAAGGTCACTACGATTGTGACCGTACCAATGTTTGCCCCCCCCCCCCCCCCGGATACCCTGTGAATTAATAAACGGCACTGATTTGTGCTCTAAATTTTGAGGAGACACCCCAACCCCACATGTAAATCGTACTTCGGGTGGCTGACCGTAGAGTAAAACCCGGTTTAAGCGACCACCCCACGGTGCAAGCAAGAGCAGTCATTTAAGCCAGGTGGTCTTTAGAACCAGGTCACACAGTGCCTGTGTTGAACTGTCGGTGCATGGAAAAACGGTCATTATGAGCAGGTGGTCGCTAAACCCAGAGGTAGGGATCTCAGCGCGTGAACTGCGCAGCCAGTTTGCGCAGGTGAGATTTCAGATCCCAAACGCGTCCAGTGCAGAAACCGTGAAAAAAACATTCTTTCGAAATAAAACAAGTTAAAGAAGACAGAAGAAATGGCTGAATGTTGCGTCCAGGAAAGCACGTTCTACGGCCATCTCCAAGCTACCTATCTCCCAGACACTCTCTCAGAGGAACTTTGGAGGGTCAAAGAGCACAATAGTTCACTCTTGGACGCAGCGTGAACACCTCTTCTTCTGAGTGCGATGTCTTCTCTCTGCCAGATAATGGCGACGATGTTCACGATGGCTGATGCACTGAAAATCGAAGTTAGGACAATCTCTAACTAGGGAAACGTCTGAATTTTTTCATTGGATCTTCTTTGAAGTAGGTTCTTGCCACATGGCAAATTATAGGAAAATCGACCGGGGCGATGTCGCTTTGGCCACGCTGTCCTCTGGCGGGAATCACGATTGTGTTCGAACGACGATGAAGATGACGATTCCGCTAGTGTCGACCGCTTCCGCTAGTGTCGAAAATCTACCGTCGCCATTTTGTAGCTGTGTCCGCGAGCTGCACTCAAAACTTGATGACGCAATGTATGCGCAAACACCCTGCGCAGTGCACGCGCTGAGATCCGTACCAGAGGTCGCTAAACCCAGAGGTCGCTAAACCCAGAGGTCGCTAAACCCAGAGGTCGCTAAACCCAGAGGTCGCTAAACCCAGAGGTCGCTAAACCCAGAGGTCGCTAAACCCAGAGGTGGCTAAACCCAGAGGTGGCTAAACCCAGAGGTGGCTAAACCCAGAGGTCGCTAAACCCAGAGGTCGCTAAACCCAGAGGTCGCTAAACCCAGAGGTTGCTAAACCCAGAGGTGGCTAAACCCAGAGGTCGCTAAACCCAGAGGTCGCTAAACCCAGAGGTCGCTAAATCCAGAGGTCGCTAAACCCAGAGGTCGCTAAACCCAGAGGTGGCTAAACCCAGAGGTGGCTAAACCCAGAGGTCGCTAAACCCAGAGGTGGCTAAACCCAGAGGTGGCTAAACCCAGAGGTTGCTAAACCCAGTGGTCGCTAAACCCAGAGGTCGCTAAACCCAGAGGTTGCTAAACCCAGAGGTCGCTAAACCCAGAGGTTGCTAAACCCAGAGGTTGCTAAACCCAGAGGTTGCTTACACCAGGTTTTACTGTAACACCCTAAAATACGTTTCGACGCCTCTTGTTTGTTTGTTTCTATACTTTATTTGAATTCGCTAATCCCTGACAGTGACGTGTTCAGAACTGGTCCAGGACGTCAGTTTTGCGCTTCGGGTCGGACGTCAGTGAGCGCAAACTGTATGCTACAGTGTTGTGTGCAGTGTTTATCTGTACATTTATATATTTTTCTCCCCACACTGTTTTCTGCATCGGTATTGCGTATTTGTGTTGAGTGTCTGTGTGCATGTGTTCATTAGTGAGCTTCTGCTGCATGGAACTACGTATCAAACTCCGTGTCAACTGCAGTGAAGTTTGACACGGATCTTCCGTGCGTTGCGCCGGTTCTGCTGTGCATAGCATGCTCAAAGTATGCTCAAACTTCCCGCCACATGTACTCTGTCCGCTCAGTTTTCACACAGAGACCGGTCCGTGTGAAGCGCGCTTTGCATGGAAAACCATATGAAAAATTCTGTTTGAAACTTGATCTCGAACCGCGACAAGGTTTCCATTCGTACTTTGGTACGTTTTCCCGTGTAGCAGAGACTCACAATTAGAGAGGTTAAGATGCACGTTATTTCCGACGTGACGCTCAATTTCGCGCCAAATTTGGCGTAAAACTCCAAATTTCGACGTGAGCTGCAAGTCCTTCGCATTGTTTTTCTACACGCGAGCCAAATAACGCGAGCTGAACTTTCTCTTCACGTCAGAAATCACGTGCATCTTAACCTCTCTATTGTCTGTTGTGTATTGCTATCGCGGCGGCTATTGTGCATTTGTTGTTTGTCTGCTGGGTGCCTGTTGTGTCGACGGGCTGTGTGTCTGTGCTGGGTCTGTTGTGTGTGCCTGTGCTGTGTATGCCTGTGCTGCGTGCAACGGTGCTCTGTGTTTCTCACGCGCAGTTCCTCCGCGCCTGCCAGCAGCGGAAACATCATCACTCACCGCAGCAGCAGCAGCAGCAGCAGCAGCCACAGCAGCGGGGGCGGTGATGGAGATATCCACCAAGCTGCTATCCAGTGTTGCACTGGTCACCAGCATCCAGGCGCCATCCGATGCTCTCGTCACATGGGACAAGGACGGCGTGACCGTCGTCCGCGGCAACCCTACCACAGCGACGACATTGCCGGCGGCAACAGGCGTGTACCGGTTGTACAGGCTGTCCGTGGACGCGAGGACCCTGCGGATATGCGCAGCCCAGCGTAGCGACGCCGGTAGATTCCGCGTAACCGTGACGCATCGCCTTGGCAATGCCACACAAGAGTTCATTCTGGAGGTTCACGGTGAGTTACGTCCACTGACAACTGGTACTGGTGGGAGAAGTACAAGTCTAAGGGCGCGTTCGAATTGTCACTCTTTGATTTTTCGAGGAGCTTCGTTTTTCTGAAGAGGTGGCCTTATTGGCCTCTTCAGAAAAACGAAACTCCTCGAAACTCATCCGATGGGAAGGTGGATTAGTTTCGAAGAGTTTGGAATAGCTACGTCACGTAGTACGTGGAGATGGTCGATCTGAATGGACGTCATCATCGCCATGACAATTCCACTGAAAAACTCTAAAATGATAGAAGCCGCTCTAATGGGACACTTCAACTAATCTCTTTATAAAATTTGTTAGAACAGTTGATGAAGACAATTCGAATGCGCCCTTAGAACGGTCTAGTGGTCTTACACAAGAGAGACGCCTTGGGGAGGGGGGAGGGGGGGGGGGGCTGTGTTGGAACCCCGGGTTTTACGTAGTCACGGTCATCAAACGATTGTATTAGGCCGCGGTCACACCAAACAAGCCGTTTTCAGCTTGTGCTGAAAGTGGCTTGTGCTGAAAGTGGCTTGTGCTGAATGAAGCGGTTGGTCACATCGACCCATATGGCCATATGGCCCCCGGATTTTTTTTGCGTGCTGTTGAGGTTTTTTCTTCGAGTCCATTCTTGAATTTTTATTTTTTGGAATTTTAAATTAATTCTATTATCTGTTGAACATGTCACAGTACGTGGCAATCAGCAGAGTTTTGGTACTGTACTAGGAGCTTCATTGGAATCAAGGTGCTTGTTTGAAAGATTGAGGGAGGTTTGAGCTCGTAGTGCAGCCATGTATCCCGAAACTAGACTCCTTGCCATTGTCTGCATGCTTCTATCGCAAAATAGTCTCCCTTGTCTGACTCTGCCGAACCAAATCACGCCTTGTAGAAAGCGCACAAGGAAAGATGAGGACAATAACAGACAGCAGGCAGTGAGACAAGTTGGACCAACAACGAAACAAACAACGAAAGCCGGAATATTTCAGAACACGATGCATCCATGGCAAGATGTGCTTTGGATTTGCACGAATTTGTTTTTCCCGCCACTGCGCCAGAATGGTTGAAAGTGGCTGAATCCATTCAGCGCTCCATTCAGCGTTAAAACGGCTGACTGCTGAAATGGCTGAAGCCGAAAATTCAGCCGTTTCTGTAGCAACAATGACGTCAAAAAGCGCTTTTTCTGCTGAATGGCTGAATCGCGCTTGGTGTGACTGCAGCCTTAAGGTCTTATCCATTACAAATAAGAACTGTGGCAGTGGCATTGAGTATCCCATTACTTTAATTATGTCAATGATCTTGGAAGCCATTTCGCAAAAACTGAGCCTATCCGCTCGACGGTTGATTATCGTTATTCATGAGTTGACTGCAGAGTGTCTCGTTATTCACGAGTTGTTTCAATACCCGGCGAGGTGGATATTCATGAGCTTTACTGGATGGCCTTGCTTCTGCTACTGGGTCTGGGTGCTGGGTGCTTGCTTCTGATACTGGGTCTGGGTGCTGTGTGCTTGCTTGTGATCATGACCTGGTGTGGGTGTTGTGTGCTTGCTCAGCGGCTGATCAAGCGATCTCTACGGGGGGTTCCAGTATAGTCAAAACTGAATAGCTGATGCATGTCCATGGACACGCATATGGTTGCCAGTGGTACATTTATGAAATTTAGGGGGTTCCGCAGAACCCCTGGAACCCCTCCTGGATCCACCCCTGGTGCTTGTGATACTTGATGTGGGTGTTTTGTGCTTGCCTGTCCCTGTACAGGTCTGGACGGTGCGCAATCCTCCAGCGCCGAGTCACGCCCGTACCTCGTTGGAGTGATCATCGCGGCCGTGGTCGTCGGCATCATGCTCATTGTGCTCGTCCTCGTCGTTGCACTGCTCAACCAACGACGCAGCAGTAGCAAGGGACACAATCTTGATCGCGTTCGTAACGGTGGCCGATGCGGTGGCGGCAGCAATGGTTACTACGGAAACGCGTTGGTGCCGACGGACGGTCATGCCGAGAACGGTGGTGTAATAACTGACCTGGACTCGCAGCAGAGCATGCACAGCGGCGCTGGCGGTGGCGGAGACTGTGCTAACGTATTCCGCAGCACATTGTCATCTTCGTCGTCGTCGGAGTGCAGGCCAAGTGCGCCGCGGCGCATGGAGTCGCTACAGTACCTTGTCGCCGACCCGCACGTGGCCGAGCACAACGTATAGCGCAGACCAGGTGTGCAGTGCAGTGTGCTGGCTGGCATTGTCAGACCAGGTATACAGTGCAATGTGCTAGCTGGCATTGTCACTGTTCAGTGTTTACTCCACAATTCTTCGTGGACTGTGGTCAGAGTTATTTAAATTGTTTGTAAGTCGCACCGCCATTTCTATGATGGCGGTGATGGTTAACATGGGGGTTAACGAGGGGGGGGGCATAGTGCAAGAGTGCACGATCAACATGCTTGAGCTGTGTGCACGCGACCTGGCCACCAATGTGTGGTTTAGGTGATAAGGGAGCGATCGGGATTCTCCTATCCACGTCCACAGCATGTCGTACTGTTCAGTGGTGATAAGGCTCATTGACACCTATCCGAGGCTCTGCCTGGCTCATAGACCTCTCTGTCTTACTCTCTCTCTCTCTCTCTCTCTCTCTCTCTCTCTCTCTCTCTCTCTCTCTCTCTCTCTCTCTCTCTCTCTCTCTCTCTCTCTCTCTCTCTCTCTCTCTCTCTCTCTCTCTCTCTCTCTCTCTCTCTCTCTCTCTCTCTCTCTCTCTCTCTCTCTCTCTCTCTCTCTCTCTCTCTCTCTCCCCCCCCCCCCCCTCTCTCTCTCTCTCTCTCTCTCTCTCTCCCTCCCTCCCTTCAGCACTGCAGCCACTGAGGCTGTGGCCTTGGACACACTTTATAGTAGTTCGTGCTAGATTCTGTAATCAGAGCACGAACCCTGTTCACCTAATGTGCTACATTCTACCCTGTAACCCATGGCATTGCGTAACAGTGTGCAGACTGTTGATGACTCATTGATTGTTAACACATGTGTAATGCATACTAGATCTGCCGAAGTATTTATCCCTGTATTAAATGGCCTGGCTTCTCCAGCATGGCTGGCCTTCAACAACACGTGCAACATGAACCAGTGTTTGTTTGTACAGCCTACTGCACACAGCTGTGTCATTGTGAACACTAATGACGTATTATCACTCCCTTAGTATTGACTTCCATAGATTTTTGCTATACCTAAGCAGTCAAATATTCCTGCATATTTCACTCCTTAGGGCTATATTTACCGCTTATATTTGACTCCTTTTTAGCGATTGAACACATGCTTTGGTTAGTAGTGCTAAATCTAATACCGGTATTGACTGGGTACGAGGTCAATATTGGATACATACAAGTAGTAGGTAGGCGGAGAGACACTGTTTATTTTATTCTAGAAAAGTGATTTGTAATGATTCACCTGCCAGATCTTCTACGGTGACAATGGATGGGCTCTTTGCACACGCTGCTCAGTGAAGTACTCGTGTTTGCTGCTCTTTGTATTGAACACTATTCATACGAGAGAGTTAGAGTTATTACCGGTGCTTGTAGTTTGCTGTTCTCAGGTTGCTAATGTTCTTGTCCATGCACTGGTGATTTCAGAATTCTGGATCAAAATCGCAGTTCTCAGTCTTGCCATGTCTGTTGAGTTGTGATAGTTTACAGTAAACTCCAGGCTCTGTTTTTCTTAATAGCTATGAAAAGTATGAATGCCGCAGACATCACCACGCAACATGACAATTTGTTCAAGGTTTGGTTTTGTGTGTTTCCAAAATCGATTTTCACGCTCCGATCATCAGTGGAAATACGGAACTAAAGAGATCAAGGGAAAAACAAAGGTTAAAAATTTAAAGAAGTGTGACACATGACGGGTAACTTTTGATCTCTTTAGTTCCGTATTTCCACTGATGATCGGAGCGTGAAAATCGATTTTGGAAACACACAAAACAAAACCTTGAACACACATCATGTTGCGTGGTGATGTCTGCGGCATTCATACTTTTCATAGCTAGTATTAAACTTTTATCTCAACGTAGATATCTACGGTTTTTCTTCGCCTTCTTTGTTTTCATCCTGGTTGACGTAAATGTACAAGCATTGAAAAACGTAGTGCCCTGGCCCTCTCTTCACAATCGATGAGTGCCCTCTCTTGAATAGTGCCCCATCTGTGATGGACATTGAAAAAAGTAGTGCCCTCTCTTGAATGATTGCCCCATCTGTGATGGACATTGAAAAAAGTAGTGCCCTCTCTTGAATGAGTGCCCCATCTGTGATGGACATTGAAAAAAGTAGTGCCCTCTCTTGAATGAGTGCCCCATCTGTGATGGACATTGAAAAAAGTAGTGCCCTCTCTTGAATGAGTGCCCCATCTGTGATGGACATTGAAAAAAGTAGTGCCCTCTCGATCTCTTGAATACTACGGTAGTGCCCCATCTGTGATGGTTGATTTTTGAGCTTTCTCCAGTCATCTCCCCCGGCCCCGCTATTTTCCCTCAAGAAGACCAAAGTCAGAAATTGATAAAATAAAAATGGTGATCCGGCCTGCCGAGCTCATGGAAAATCCCTAACAAAAATAATAAGAAAAAAGTACGAAGTAGTGGGGAGCAAACCCTTTTTTTAAATAAGAAAAAAGTAATAATAATAATGAGGGAGAAGGTGAGCTGAGTGAGGGTGAGTGTGAGGGTGTGCGCGTGAGTCGAGATTATGTGCGTCCGTCTCGTAATAACAAGTCTTCAGTATACTGGTTTCTAGTACTGACTGTTGTCGTACTTATTCTGATTCCTGTTTTTCTGTTTTGTGCTGTGCTCGTCATGGTTATCTTTTGCAGTTACAAGCCTGTTTTGGAAGCTGTTTGTCAGCACATTCATAAGCCGAATTTGTGTGTCCAGAAAGATAGTGTTATTACCCTAAAATTGTTCAAATAATGTTCTTTTGTGTAGTGTGGCAACGTTGTTGCCACTTGTGCCTAAATGTGTTTTTGTCACCTTCTTGTTTATTATTGTTATTATTATCATTCGTTCTCACTTTTTGTTTTTGTTGCTGATACACACTTGTCACGCTTAGTTCTTACTTGTATACCCTTGTTTTCTGCACACTTTTGTGAGAAATCGCACCTCGATATTCCAGTGCTGTCATTGTATCGTGTTACCCTACCTTGATTGCTATATTATTTCCTTTGTTCTCATTTTGTTCTTTAGTGCAAGGGTGATTCCTGAAGAGTGTTGTACGAAAACTTGTTCGAATCATCTTTTTTCCATTGCCTTTTTCTTCTTAGGCCACCCTTTCTTTTTTCGTTGTTTAACGTCCGCGCCCGCGTACCTTTTTGCCTCCGACCGGAAAAAAAACAAGGAAGTACAAGTAGTAGTACCAATAATATGCGAAGTTGTAAATACATGATTGTGTAGTTTCACAGTGTGCCGATCATGACCTTAAACTTATAATCTTGCCTCCCGGGCATGCCTTTGTCTTGTGTTCTTTTTCTTTTTTTGTTGGCTTTTAAATATCGTACGGTGTGTGTCCTAGTAAAAATCCAGATGTAATGAATTCATGACAATCATGCTTACTCCATGCTATGTACCTGTTTTGTTGAATTCATCAGGCATGTGCTCCAATGTACCATCAAAGAGTGTTGTTCTATGCCTGCAAGTGCCGTTAGACCCAGATATATTGTATACCGTATATTCTCTATTATAAGCACAGGTCTCCATTACTAGCACAGTCTCTAATAGGGCTTGAAAGTGCTACGTCACAGCATAGCAACAATTTCAAAAATTCAAAAACTGGATCCACTTGGATCCAGTTTTTGTATGGATCCAAGCACATTTCAAGCGGTCTTACCCACAGCAAGGTGATGTAGCCAGTGAAACTGACCGATATGGCTACTGGGGGCGGGGTAGGCCTTGACGGATTATGCTAGCATCATTTTTCGCATAATTTCTACCAAAATCGAATAATCGCATAATTCGAGGCAAATTGGATATGAATCGCATAAATTGGAATAATCCGCCTGTTCGCATCAAATTCCATACAGTTGTACATGTTCTACAAGTACAAGTACAAGTAGATGCACCAGGAAGTCGTAGGTTTACGACTCCCTTGATAACATGTCCAGTCGACTACAATCAGTGACGGTCGTAGCTAGGTCGGACGGTGCGGTGACCCCGTTGAACTTTTGCTACTACAGTACAACGCCCTCTACAAAACAATTCCCCTGGTATTTTGCACAGAACCATCATATACATCAGCAGCATATGTGAGCATAATGCGGCATAATATGATAACTTTTAGCATAAAAATAGCATAATTCTGCAATTTTTTCAGCAATGCGAAAAGCATAATTTCACGAAAATATTAGCATAATCCGTCAAGGCCTAGGGCGGGGTTACAACTGGTGGCGAAATAAAAGTCACACCTGCATGCGACATGAGTGGGTTGCTATGCACCCACATACTTAGGCAATAGCAAAGTCACACCTTAGTGGATCCAAAAATAGAAATCTGATGTCAACTTACTACTCCCTGGCCGTTTTGACGTCATCACTTTCAAGCCCTATACTAGCACACTGTGAGCACCTTTCGAAACATTATAAGCACAGTCTCTATTATTAGCACGGTCTTGGTGGAAATCAATGCGGTGTGCATGATATCCAGCATGTATTTCTTCTTGCTCTGTATGGATGTATTGGTTGAAAAAATATAAGCACGGTCTCCAATATAAGCGCGGTCTCCAATATAAGCACGGGGTAGAGGGGTGTTGAAAAAATATAAGCACGGCGCTTATAATAGAGAATATACGGGATATCACATGCTTTACTGGTCAAAATGTTTGATTGGGGTTTCCAGTTTTTGGAATGGGCTTTTTTTTTCGCCCTCCCGCGTACCTTTTCGCGAAAAAAAAGGACGTTAAACAATGAACTAAGTTAACAAAGGGTGGCCTTACGTGACATGTAATTTTCCTTACCCTTTAGATTGTTTCTTGCATCGTCTCCATCGCTTACATTGTTAATAAAGTAATCCAAATGTCGCTTCAGCTAGCTCGTCCTACTTATTGCCATATTAAAATTATTGTCTCCTCGTCGAATTTTTAAATAATAATAATAATAATGAGATCGAGAGTGAGTACAATGACAGTAAAACCTGCCAAGGCGACCACTCGGATAAGGCGACCATCTGCCTCAGAAGACCACTGTAACCAGGACCAAGGGATGCTATTTCCAGTCAACTGACCCTGGATAAGGAGACCACCTGGTAAAACAACGGAGGTCCCTTGAGAGGTCGTCTTTTAGACAGGTTCAAGTCTCTGAAGTACCGAACCAAGAGTGCATGGACCAGGGAGTCGTCAAAATACCGGTACAGTCGTCCCTCTCTAATCCGGCACTTGTTTATCCGGAACCCTTGCCAACCGGCGCACTTTCTGACGAAACCGATTTTTTTCGTTCAATTCCTACATCTTAATCCGGCACTTGAATTCCGCCTCCGGCAGTGACTTTTTGAAACGAATCGCTCAAACTGCACGTAGTTTGATTTCATAATCCGGCAGTCGTAAATCGCGTACCGTACAGGTGCACTCCTTGCCAGGCGCTAGGCCAGGCTAGGCCAGTCTGGTCAATGTTGTCCAGGAGACAACGGCAGTCCACCATACTTTCTTATTTTAGCAAGGAGTAGTGTCCTGCCAATTTTCAGGTGTGTGTGTGTGTGCGCGTGTGTGTGAAAGAGTACATGTGAACATGTTCTCTGTTTTACTTTATCACTTTATCACTGTGTATACTCCCGGAGAACAATTGAGAATATAAAGCCGTGCACCAAATACTTTGGTCGACACGGAAAAACCCTGCGTTTTGACGTACATATGATACATGCATGCAATTGGGTAGGGCCGGGTCAGAGGGCAGGATTTCTTAATCCAGCACCCTCGTTAATCCAGCAGAAAACGCCGTAGCAAAAGGTGCCGGATTAGAGAGGGACGACTGTATTTTGACGACTCCCTGGCATGGACTCTTGACTAGTCGACTGTCATGTTGACCGAACGTGAACAAAAAATATTAAATGTTTTAAATACCTACCGTTACCATGGTTACTTGCATGCAGCTTGCATGGTCACAAGAGTACATGAAAACCAGAGTGTGCAGCTTGGGGCCTTTTCTGCTATGGGTGTCTGTCACGGCGAAATTCCGTGATTACATCATATTTGGCCCAGATCTGAGGCAGGAAGTGGCGTAGTGCGTACAACTGAGCTGCAGTTGTGCAGAAAGAGACCTGCTTGAATCCTGCTTGTACGCACTAC